ATAAAATTTAAAATATATATCTTTTTTTTTTTCTTAGAAAAGATTTTTAAAACAATTAATAAAGATAAAACAAACATTTTATTAACTGTATAAATTATTTGTATAGCTATAAATTTTTGCAATTGATCAGCGTTTCTAAAATGCGCACTGTCGCATTATTATAATTTTGAAGAACGTGTATTTCAGGCAAACCTCTTTTGTGATTTAAGTGAAAAAATCATTAAGAAAAATTATCAGGCGAAGTATTTTTTGAAAGTTTGAGTCTTCTACGGTTGCAAATTTAGCCACTGTAAGTGAGTAAAAATTGCTTCTGCGTCTGAAAGTTACTGCATGCGCAAGTTTTCACATATAAAGTTATGGAAAATTTTTTCTTGACATTTACGCATTTAGAAAAATGATAAAGATTAAAAATATACATTTATATATAATGAAACAGTTTCTGACTACAAAAAGGTTTGCATTTGTTAATTAGATTCTTTTTCATTAAATGAGTTTTTACCCAAACCAAAACCCTCACTCAATGTATGTACACTCCACTGCACCTATCTCTACTTAAGTCAGTTGATGTATGTGCACTCCTAAAAATCCTCTCTAGCGCTGATCAAGAGTATTTTTAGTAGTTTGACTGCATGAAGTTATCAAATAGTTGAAAATTTTTTGTAAATACTGCGCATACTTTGTTAATAATCGTGAAATTATTGTTTTTTTTTTTAATACATACCCTGCGTAATAAACATTATTTATAATAAATATATGCTTTTTTTATTAATAGACTACCTGCCCAACCCAAATCCTCAGTCGATGCAGCAGCACTCCGTTGAAGGTCAGGCTATTTGTCAGTCGATGTAACAGCACACTGTTGCGAGTCAGGCTATAAGATAGTCGATGTAACAGCACTCCGTTTAAGTCACAAGTTCTTATTAAGTCAATATTAATATTTATTAGACATAGTATAATTAAATATTAAAAAAAAAACCCTGTAAAAATACAACATTTCACTATCTGCGCATGAGCGCTATCAATGTTACATATATATATATATATATATATATATATATATATATATATATATATATATATATATATATATATATATATATATATATATATATATATATATATTAGAAGATATCGTGATAAAATAATAAAGAACATGATGACTCATAGAAGACCATCAGGTCTCATCAAAAGCTGCTTATAACAAATTTATAGAAACAATTCGTAAGAATATATAAATAACCTTAATGTTAAAAAGTTTAAGTTTATACTAATATATTTAACCATGAAATTTTTTTTTGGCATAAATACAAAAGATTGGTAAGATATATTTGTGTATATTCAGGGCCGACGGTGTGCTGCCCCCCCCCCCCTGGTGTCGTTGGCCCTGATATTAGCTTGTTTAATAAGTTTCATATTCTTGTATCATAAAAATGTTAAATGTGTAAAAGTATGTCTTTAAAAGAAAAAAATTTTTTTTTTTTTGATTATATTTTTTAATTTTCTTTTAGTTTTTTTTAAAGTTAAAGTTAATTTCATTCAAGAGAAAAATGAAAATATTTAAAAACTATTTTATTCCAAAGAAAAGCTCTACAAAATAAAAAATATGACTTTCCAAAAATAGTTTGATAAAATGGTTGCGAATTAAGTTATCATTTTATTTTAAAGTTATTTTTATCGTTTAAAAGAATAAAGCAGAAGAAAAAAAATTATAAGACAAGCAATATGCTCTGCTAACAAAAAAGAGGTTCCACTTTAAATTCATTGGCGTTACCCCCAAGGCGGATCCATAAAAGGAGAAGAAAAAAAAAAGGGGGGGGGGGTACAACGAGGCAAACAATAGCGTCTTTTTTTTTTTGCCATATAAATTTATTCATAACATAAAACATATGTAAATACAAACAGCAGGGGCAAGAAGAAGATATTTGTCTTATCGCCAAGCCCCTTAATCTATACCGTAATACACAATAATAAAATATAAAAATCGTAAAACAATAGCACTACAGCATATAAAATATTGTTATATAAACTTTTTATATTTATAAGAAACAAACAACAAACAAAAAGATAAAATTCATAGGTCCTGAATGCCCTATGAATAAAAATCTACTTTTTTTTCTTATTTTTATATAACAAAAGAACAAAAATTAAATACCAAAGTAAAAGCAAATACTATAGTATAGTAAAAAATTATATACTTAAAAAGAATGCTTGAAAATACTCATAATCCTGAAACTTTCCTTTTAAACCAGTATACACCTTTATATATACATTAGAAGAAACCATGCGCTACGTTGCTCATCAACAGTCTTTGCTTCGATTTAGTCTTAAACTCATCAAGCGTTGCAATTGTTTTAAGATCATTAGTTAATATTTTATTCCATACTTTTGGTCCTCTAGTAGAAATTGAAAATTTAGTAGCCGCAAAATAATTTGTGGGCTCATGGTAGCTGTTATACGAGTATCTGGTTAAGTATCTGTTCTGATTTATTATGAATAGCGGGTTAAATATTTTTAATAATTTTGAACATAAATATAAGAAGATGATAGATGTTTATTTGGTAGATATCCATTATATTTAGTTTAATAAACAATGCTTGGGAATTTGTAAAACGTCCCACATTAGATATGATTCTGATTGCATGTTTTTGTTTATTTATTATTTGTACTGCACCAAACAATGTTTGCATAATTTAGATGACAATGAATGAAAAAGAAATATAAAAATTTTAAGCAATATGGATTTAAAAAAGGTTTTGCTCTGCAAATTAAACCGATGTTCTTAGAGATTTTACTTTCGAGATACTGTATGTGATTTCTCCACGTCACATTTTTATCAAGCAGAACACCGAGAAATTTGAAATTGATTTCTCTTTTTTTTTTTAACCATAAAAAAGCGAGGGTTTACTTAGCGAGGTCACAGGTAGTAACTTTTATCAATACTTAGAGACAACTTATTCATCTTAAACCAGTTACAAAATTTTGCGATTAATTAAATCAAAGGCTTTTGATAAATATCCTAATTTATACTGGAATTTTGGCGGACGTGTATTATAGGCACGTTTTACGCATAACATCTATTGAAAACTATACTCTTACCCTGAACCCAACAATAAAATTTAAAAAAAAACTTAAATAAAAATAGGAAAAATAGAGAGTGAGCGATATTATGAAACATTAATCTCACTTATTCATACTAGACTATGTGGTTCTGGGATATTCATTAGTTCCTAACTACTTAATGATGAATTTCTATGTGGTTTTAGTACATATCCATTTGTTCTAAGCTACCTAATTACATTATATACATTGAACTTAAAACATTTAATCATTTCGAATTATTTTAAGTTTATTCTAAAAAAAGATCGTAGTTAGAATGTTTCATTTGAAGTACAAAAAAGTTATAATAGGAAAAGTTATTAGAATATCAGATAAAACCGAGAAGATAGAAGTATCTGTCAATAAATAATTTTATTTTAAGTTCTTTTGGAATAAAACAGGGTTCCCACTATTAAAACTAAGGCTAAAATTAAGGATTTTAAGGAGATTTGGTCGCGAGCGACATTTTTTTGAAAGAAAAAGTAAGGATAATTAAGAAGAAAACGATTACATTAAAAACATAATCTTATTTTTTCAATAAATTTTAAATATAAACAGAAAAATTATTATTACTTTATATATATATAAATATTAATATATATATAATAAAAAAAATAGGTTTGAAAGTTATCAAAAATTTATATATTATCTTCTTTATTAGCAAGTATAATCCATTCACTTTAAAAAATTTTTCTGGATGATTAAAAAAAAAATAATAATAAGGAGAAATTAAGGAGAGGAGTTAAGGTTATTTAAGGACATTTAAGGAGGTTTTTATTTTTTAAGGATATTTAAGGTTTTTAAGGAGGTGTGGGAACCCTATAAAAAAGAAAACCTTGTTAAAACTTAAATTTCTGCAAAACCAAATATAAATGTGTCAATAAATAACTTTATTTCAAGTTCTCTTAAAATATTAAAGAAAACCTTGTTAAAAATCAAAGGTTACTATCAAAATCTCAATTGTATAAAAAAAAACTTTGAAAAACATTAAGTTAACTGCTGAGTTACAATCGGGACCTTTGAAGAATATTGAAGAAGGTTTGAGAAACTAGGAAACTATTAAAATCCAAGCCACTGATTTCAACTTAATGTAATTCATAATATTTTAACGTTTACAATCTAAAAAATGCCATAACTAAAGTTACGCATGCGCACTTGAACATTGCGACTCAAAACCTTATGATTTTTCGTAGCAAATATCTTTTTATGATAATTATTTTCTAAGGAAAAGATCACCAAAAAATTGAATTTAAAAATCTAACATTTTACGCTTATATCTGTTGCCATTCTTGTAATATAGCATAAGGAAACTTATTTAATTTGATATTACGATCGATGGTTCTATTAAACACGAATAAAAGTTAATCTTAATAAAAAAGATCCTTTTCATCTTGTTTTAATCGACGCGAATTTACTTTGAAAACAACCTCGGCTATTATTAAAATTTAAACACTATCAGTTTACGTCTTTTGCACGTAGACTACATTAACAAACATCTATATTTTCTAACAATTTAATTTTTGAACATTTTATTAGCGCTTTAAACACACTTTTATAGGATACAATAGTATTTGAATTGCTAAAAACATTTGATCTTAAGCGAGTTTAAAAACGAGTATTTTCGTTTCATTAACACTCATTTACAAAATAAGAAGCAAAATACCTGGTAACGAAATAAGTAATAAGCAAATAAAATAAATTAAAATAATTGCATCAAAAACTACCGAAGCAAACCTAATGTAAACTTTTTTTCTGTTAAAATGTGTATTTATTTGATTATAATTTTCTACACTAAACCTACGTTATCAGTTACTTGAATGAAAAAGAAGATTTTCTCTTTGGTAAGAAGAAAGTAACTTCCACTAAAGAAGTTGGTTTCTATAAAAAAAAAAATATTGAGCTTCTTTAGGAATATTTAGTGTTTCATGAGTAATTTTTTTAAACATACCTTCAAGCCATAAAAGTTTACAGTAAAAAGAGTTTTTTTAACTCCATTAGAATGTCTTTGCTGTAAATACATTAATGACAAGGTCCGCGCGGTCCGCATTGGTTTTTCACCGTTCGAAACAAAGAATTTCGGTTACAAATAAGAAATCCGATTTAAACGATGTCTTTTATCACCTATCCCATTTTTGCATTGCTTTTGGTTGATCAGCAGGATCGAAATGTTCACGTGCAGCACCACTTCCGCTTTTGGTACCTACGTCCATAGTAGAATTGCCTGAATCAGACGCTTTAGCAAATCGATTATAACCAGTCTAGAAAAAAAAGGAAGAGATGGATAGTGCAGCAGCATTTTTTCAAAAAATAACTTTTTTTTGAAATATATATACATATGTATTATATATACACACATATATGAGGCCATGAGAACAAGAGTGGTGTAAGTAACATATTAAAACAATGGAGAAAATAGATAATAAAAATAAAATTCCGTCGTTTTTTAATTGAATTATCTCACTTGTTTTTGAATTCATAGCAGCTTTTCAGTTTTAACCATCTATTAAGACATTTCTTTGAGTTTTTTATAGAGTTACTTTACTTTAAAAAAAAACATTTTGTAAATTTGTGGGTTACACCACTTTTGTTCTTATGGCCTCATATATGTGTGTGAATATATACATACATACATATATATATATATATATATATATATATATATATATATATATATATATATATATATATATATATATATATATATATATATATATATATATATATATATATATATATATACATATATATATATATATATATATATATATATATATATATATATATATATATATATATATATATATATATATATATATATATATATAGACACTATGTGGCTATTTTTGGAAAAACATTGGTTTAAAGTCAAAAAATAAATTTTATGAGCATCATTAAACCAATGATGCTCAAAAAATAAAATCAAAACAGCCCATTCCAGTTTTTCCAGCGAGTGGACACCCTGATATATATACACACACATAATGCTACGTAAAGTACATGTGAAAGTAGGTAATATAAAGAAAAACAGACTAATATCCACTAACCGCAAATGCTGATTTTAAATTATTAAGTCTATTTGATCCAAATGCCGTAGAAGACATAGCATAAGATGTAAGAAGTGATCTTGAAGGTCGTTTACCACCAGAATTACCAACAGTTAACTCTTCTTCATCGGCTAAGTTGCCCTTTGAATTTTAATAGTCAAGATAAAAAAAGTTTTCCGAACATAAAAGTAAAAAAAAGCAGTTACAAAATAAACGTGGAACATAATAAAACAACAAAACAGTATAAACATGATGACAAAAAACTATTACTTCATCGTTGCCTCCTCCTTTACCCTCAGGTAAACCAAGACCAGGTCGATCTCGTGGAGTGAACTCTTTGTTTGCTGCTTTGCGACCGCGTTTTGCACGCGTTTTACGAAACCAAGGATTCTAGGAAAATGTTATATTTAAAAAAAAACAAAAAAACTTTATTTAGTTATTTAACCAACAACTTGAAGCGTTTTTAAGCAAGTTTTTGAAATCTTTAATGTTTGTATTATAACTTTCCAAATTGCCATTCAACAAACAAGTAACTAACGTGTATATTATGCGTATATATGTAAAACAATTTTTAAGTATGTATGTTTATATACACATTTTATATATATATATATATATATATATATATATATATATATATATATATATATATATATATATATATATATATATATATATATACACACACACATATATATACACATAATAGTATTATTATTACATATTTATATATTAAAATAGTATATATATTAAGAAAAACAAAGTCTATATGCATATACATATATACATACATAAATATACATATTTATATATACATGCATATATATAAAATTTATACTTAACTATATAAATATTTAATTATATAAATATATGTATATATGTATATGTATATGTATGTATGTATATAATTTTAACCAAGTTTACCTTTAGTGCCAAATCTAAAAGTTCGTCTGGAACACGTTGGTTTGCACCTTCCTTAAAATAAAACCATTTGTCCAACTTTTAAAAATTTCTAAAAGCTGTATATTATATCAAGTTTATTATTATTCAAGCTTTTAATAAAAATTTTTCTGAAATTATATTTTATTAAATCTCAACTAAATAAAAAAAAATGTATAAAAAATTTAATTTAATTTTAGTTGCATAAGAATTTAAAAAAAAAATTGAAACAATGCTAACTCATGAATAGTTCAACAAAATGCAAGTTTCTCTATCCTGAGGTCGATGGAAACTATGGTCAGTTACCCATTATTGTATTTACAAGTGTTTCAATGTGTATCTCGATACCTGGTAACATCATAACAGGTTTAACGATTCTAAGAAACTTCAAGTTGCGATCAGAACCTGCATACCTTCTTATCTGTTCAGTTTGCGTTGCAGACACATTAGTCGGTGCCGCCGCTCAACCTTTTTTGATAACAGCCACAGTGCTAGGTATGAAACGCTCCTGTATTTTGGACAAAGTATACTTTGTGTTAGCATGGCTTTCATCTTGTGCATCAACATTAGGAGTTATGACTATTACAATAGATCGTTATCTGTATATTGTTCACCCTATGAACTACACAATATTAATGACTCAACAACGTGCTACTATTATGATATTTATTGTATGGTTTACATCCCTACTATTTGCAACTATGCCAATAATTTATTACAACATGTTAGCACTCCACATTACAGCATTATCTGTCTTTATATTTATAACCTCATTTATGACTTACACTTATGGAAAGGTTTACTTTAAATTAAAGGTACCATCTACATCTCTGCCTTTTTCAAGAATACATGGCAGAAAAACAAAAGTGCGAACACAAGCATCGCGTACTATTCTTATGGTAGTAATTGGCTTCTTTGGTTGTTGGTATCCATGGGTCATTATAAGTTTACTAGTTGCAATTTCTAAACAACAAAACTCATCTAAAGCTAACATAACCCCATCATCTTTTATAATAAAGCTATACTGGATATTTCTTACCTTAGGTTATTCAAACAGTGCCCTTAATGTATTCATTTATAGTAGGAAGAATACTATTTTGCGTAAAGCAGTAGAGAAATTTTTAGGATTAAAAATACGAAACAGCACAATAGTAGGATATTCGCTAGAAAAAGAAGAAACTAAAAAAAGTAAATTAAATGAAAGCAAATCAACTATGGCAGATTTAACAGATTTATGTCGCAGGTTTGCTAAATTAAACAGAGTATACCCACAAAAATTGTCAAACAAACAAGTGAACTCAATGGAAGTAAATAACTATGTTGAAAGAACTGACTCTATTTGTAAAGTTGATGCAGCTATTTTAAACAGTTCACTAATATTTTTAAAAACATACTAAATACAGAATTTTATTCATAAAACTTTATTATACAGAAATTGTAGTACTTTGAATTTTAGTTGTTAAAACCTATTTATAGTAGAAAATTATTTTAAAATATGTTTAATTAAGACTACATATTTGTCAAAATTTTACTTTGCTTGCCAACTTAGCAGCAATAATTTGATTGCCAACTTAGCAAGTGCCCGCCTTATTTTTTATCTGCTTTATTAGGGAATTGATTTTGTGTTTTTTGATATATTCATATTGGTATAATTATATTTTTAGGTTACAGGGTAAGTAAATTTTTAAAATATTTAATATAAAGAGAAAAGAAAAGAAATGAAGGGATAAGACAGAAATCAAATGCAGAGTAAATACCAGAGAGCCCTAAAATACTATTATTAACACTACCAGGAGAAATATTTTCACATAATAAAAATTAACATTTTAAATAATAATTAAACACAGTGCATATTATTTTGTTTAAAAAAGAGCACACGAGAGGGTCAGTTGGCAACAAGCAAAAAATCACGAAGATAGAGTTTAAAAAATCGCTGTTTAACTGTATGAAAATACTTTAAATGTTTTATTGCATAAAATTCCTCTACATTAAGGTGGCTCATAAAACTAAAATTCCTCTACATTAAGGTGGCTCATAAAACTAAAATTCCTCTACATTAAGGTGGCTCATAAAACTAAAATTCCTCTACATTAAGGTGGCTCATAAAACTAAAATTCCTCTACATTAAGGTGGCTCATAAAACTAAAATTCCTCTACATTAAGGTGGCTCATAAAACATAATTTAAAAAACTTCCATACAAAAAATGTTTTAAAAGGTGGTTTAAGACCCTTGAACATTTACTGGCTCCCAAATTTTATTAAAAATTTTTTTTTTTTAAAATATCATGTTGGGTCTTAAATCAAATGACGTGAAATTATATAAAAATATCAAAAATAAAAATTACTTCATAAAAAAATTATTTCTTTTATTTTTATATTAGGAAAAATGAGGTCGGAAATCAACTGTTGACCTTAAACTGTTAGAAGTTGGCATCAGGAAGGCAAAAAATTTTTGCCACAAAGGTCTTACCATAAAACATAGAAATGAGGTTGGCAATTTTTTGCCCACCTCTGACACTTTTAGCTCAGCAGTTAAGTTGGCATTGCCGAATGCCAACCCTAATTCTAAGGGTTAAATATATATGATAGACAAAATAAACTGACTTAAAATATGTTGTGAAATTTTAATTTCAAACAAAATAAAGCAAGCAATCAATACTCACTAGATTTCGAACAAGATCAGCTGCAAAATGTGTATCTTGAGGTGTAATTAATGTGTAAGCAATACCTTTTTCTCCTAAAAATAAAATCTAAAAAAATAAATATATTTGTTTTTAAAATTTCACATTTATCCTAGCAAATTTTATTTTTACAAAGATTATAGCCAATATATATATATATATATATATATATATATATATATATATATATATATATATATATATATATATATATATATATATATATATATATATATATATATATATGTATATATATATATATATATATATATATATATATATATATATATATATATATATATATATATATATATATATACATATATATATATACATATATACATATATATAAAAGATATATATATATATATATATATATATATATATATATATATATATATATATAAAAGATAAATATATATATATAAATACAAATAGTATTGTGTACTTTGGTAAGCAATCTGATGTCATACTGAAATAGCCGGCTGCTGGGGGCTTCAGTACATACAACGACTGACAAATAACCTGACTTGCAGTGGAGTGCTGCTACATCGACTGAGGGTTTGGGATGGGGAAGCAATTGTTTTATTTATCATTCTTCGTTTTTTTCTTCTTCTTTTTCAAAAAAAATGGTTTACCTTAAAGTAAGCACAAAAAGTGAGCAAATGCTTATCAAAACACGCTTTAGTAAGTGGATATATATATAAAAGATATATATATATATATATATCCAAAGTTTCTCTTTAGCACAAAATGTGTAAATATTCTAATAAATAAAACAACTTTTTTAATTTTTGTTGAAATCATTTATTTTATAACACATGTTTCGACTATATCATAACCATCAACAGTTAAAATATATTAAAATGCTTAAATCAAATTAAGTTAATTGTTAAAATTAAGAGACCTTATAATAAAAATACAATAAAATTCAATTAAAAAATGTAACAAATGTTTTAAAAAGATAAAAGAACCAGTAATGTTAAAAGGAAATTGATTGAAATTATCATTTTTACATGGTTCATTTGTTTATTAATAGTGGGTTTTTCCTACTCTATGTGCATGCTTTCTTTGAGTTTTAATATGCTGCTTGGGACAGGCAACCCCGATTGGAGCCCATATTTTTCAAAATTCTTCTATACCATCATTGAAGGACCTTTTTTTTAAGTTCCTCTATTTTCTTTGGTGCTATATATACTATATTTTAGGAACTTTTAATGTATTAAATATTGTAATTTCAAATTATATTAATAAGTTATTATTAACAACGCATTTTCAAATGTTTTTAATGTTTTGCATAAACAGAAAATAAATATATTTAAAACTGACTTCATAAAATTCATTTCATCTACTCTCCCTAACTATTCAAACCTCTCCCTGTTTTAAATTAATTAGGTAAGAGTAGGTTAACAATAAGGTTTTATTAAAAAGGAAAACAATAAGAATAATATTAATTTTACTTAGCATTTTAAGCACATTATTTAAATTCTAACTGAATTGGAAATTCATTGGATTGCAAAATAAATTTGTTTAAGTATGGTAAAGTTTCCAATACATTATTTATATTATCATCTTGATATAGTCTTACTAGATCTCAAGTTGTAAATTATTGTTTTTATTTTTATCTTGCAGTTAAATAATTATTTAAAAAAAGAAGACATTTGGATTAAAATATAAGAATAATATAAATAAATATAAAAAATAAATATAAGCTTAGACAATTAAAATTATAGTACGCTGGTGTTGTTTTCATTATTATATGTTTTTTGTGTTTTTTACATTTTACATTTATAAAAAACAATGGAAACATGTCATTATTAGTATTATACCGAACAAATTAAAAAACGAAACAGATGTAATGAAATTTTTGTGTTTTGGATTTATTCAAATTACTCAAACTAAAAATGAAATTCCGCAGAACTCAGAGATGAGCTACATAAACACTTTCATAACAAAAAATGATTTTTATATTAAAAGCAACAAAATTTTATGCAGCCACTAGTAAAGGCGATTTTTTAAAAAATTTATGTGGGACTGTGGCCTGCCCTAATGTATGTATATATATATATATATATATATATATATATATATATATATATATATATATATATATATATATATATATATATATATAAGATATATATATATGAAAGATTTAAACCTGCACGACCAGTACGACCAATCCTATGTGTATGTGTTGTGATGTCACGAGCAACATCATAATTTATAACAGTTTTTATTGAAGGAATATCCAAGCCACGAGCTAAAAACAAATTTTTAAAGTTAATTTTGAAATGACATAAATAAAAAATTAGAGTGTACTTAACAATGATATACATTAAAAAAAATATAAATAAATAAAAATATAAATAATTAAATATAATAAATGTAAAAAATTATGAAGCATAAAAGGAGTAAGAGCTAAGATCTGGTTGAACCTTCTAACTTGAACCTAAATATAGTCTACATGCAATACAACATTGTTAGAAGTTAGAAGGTTCAACCAAGATCTGGTTGTACCTTCTAATTTGAACCTAAATATAGTCTACATTGCAATACAACATTGTAATAATATATTAAGGAATATTTTATCTTCTGGTTAATGACATCAACAAAAACACGTAATAGAAATTAATGTTAAATTTTGAGTTAAAAAAATATTATCTAATTCTAATTATTAGCAGGACTTTAAAGTCCTGCTAATAATTACAACAATAATTACAATGTTTATAATTATAAATATAAACATTTTTATAAACTATAAACCAATCAGCTCTTAAACACTGTAATTTTGATTTTTTTTCATATACAAATTCTGCATATATTATAAGTTTATATCATAAATAAATTGCAATTTGTAATAAAAATAGATAAAAAAATTAATTGATTTCATTATAAAAACTTCATCATAAAAAAAAAAAAAGATCACCTGCTACATCTGTAGCCACAAGGATAAGAAATTGTTTTTGTTTGAACTGCTTTAAAACATTATTTCGTTCAAACTGATCAAAATCACCATGAATAAGTCCAACTAAATAGTAATTCAGACTAAATAGTTTAAACAAAACTTTCTATATAATTCTCCTTTCTTCATCATATATATGATTTCAGGTATAGTTGACCATTTGAATTGAATTTAGGTATAGTTGACCATTTGAAATTTTATATAGCTTTCTTTTTTAATAACAGTGTGTAACTTGTTAAAATACAAATACTTACGCTCATAGCCCTGCTCCTTCAGGTTAGCAGCTACTTCTTCACTATTTGATTTTTTTGTAACAAATATAAGAACACTACCACCTATAAAAACATTTAAAAAACACTAAACAACCTTTCAATATCACATTCCATTTCTTATAATATAAAGATACCAAGTTATGCATGTTTTACAAAGTTAGAAAAAAACATTTAATTTTAGCTATAAAAGAGTTTGTCTTTTTTTAATATTATTACCATTATAATATAATGTTTTTTTGTTTTTATTGTTTATTTGGTACTTTAATATATACAGGTATAAAATATCATTAACAGCAGTATACTTTTTATATTCGAAATATTATAGATTGTTAATAAACAATAGAAAAGCTAAAACTAAAGATAGAACAGTCCCAGTGGGCATAAGAAATGTTTTGGACATTGTAAACAAATATTAAAACATAATAATGCATTTTTTAGATGTCTTAAACACATCTTGTGCCCTATTTGGTAATAATAAAAGATAACAGTCATACTAAATGATAAAGATATTATAGATAAATCAAAATTAATAAATGAAAAACACTTTAAATTACAACCTTGGTTTTGAATATTGCTTATGGGTAATGAAAAATTGTAAAAAAATATATTGGATTTTATTAGTAGTAGTACAAGCGCTTTAAACCAAAATTTAGTAGTTTATTAAAAAAAATTCAATATGTTAGTTTGTTAGTAATTCAAATCATTTGTTAGTAGTTTAAAATGTTAGTGATTTGTTGATTTTTTATTCTGTAAGACAATGTACTTTTAGAGAACCTAATACACCTACAGCTTCTCTTAATTTCAATGTTTTATCAAAAACATATTTTACTGCACTTTTGTAATTTTTGTTTGTATATCTTTCACATTTCATTTTATTGTTCCACACTATTTTCAAACTTTGTTTAAAATTTTTTTAATAATTTAATTTAACAATTAGATTGTTAAGAGACTCTCAGTACGTCCAAATGTACCCCATGAAAATTGTCTCAACCCTGATTTCAGAATATATTCCACAAAATTTTTGTGCAAATTTTATATCTTGCAACATATCCCTTGTACTAAAAAAGTAAATAAATTCATTGGAAAAGTAATTTTTTCAATAAATCCTTATGGGTCATTCCATGCCAAATGGACAAAAATTTTAGGATTTCAACATAGACCCCCTCAGATTTTGATGAAGGTATTAAGACATATTAGGTTGGCATTTAACCAATGAACTATACCTTTAAGATCTGAATTTAAATTTTTACAAAGAGAATAGTATGATTTGTTAACATGCAAGAGATTGGTATCAACGGTATCGAAAGCTTTTTGTAAATTGATAAAAACACCAGAAGCAAAATGACCAGTATCAAGAGCTTTTCTAATTTTTTCAGTTATACTTATCAGTGCGTGGCAGGTAGAACTGTTTGATCAAAAACCAAACTGAAACTCATTTAAACAGTTAAAAGAGTTTAAAAAAGAGTACACTCTAGAATAAATTCATTTTTTAGGAAGCTTACTAATTTTAAATAAAAGAGAAATAGGTCTATAGTTAGTACATAAAAGTTTAAAGCCGTTTTTGAAAATTGGAATAATACAAGATAATTTTAAAATACCAGTTTTTCTAATTGGAATAATACAAGATAATTTTAAAATACCAGTTTTTCTAAGATAATTTTAAAATACCAAAATTTCTACGATATATTTTGTGACTATAATTTTTTTGTGGTATAAATAATTTGTTGAAATTAGGACAAATACAAAATTGATCAGAAGTTGTCAAATTTCCAGAGACAGAAGTTGTCAAATTTCCAGAAATAATATCATTAGTTATTAAATTAGAAAAAATATTGTCAATGATTGTAGCAGAGTGTTCAGTAATTCTTGTTGGCAAAGTAATAAAAGGGCAAATATTATAAATAGAAAGTAAATTTAAAAAATCACAGGTCACAATGTCATTTGATTGTATCAAATCACTTGATTGTATCAAATCTATATTAAAATCACCCAATAAGAAAACAGATTTATTTTCTGCAGATATTTTTAGAAGTAATGCAGACATTATATTATTGAAAATATTTATGTCCATGCAAGGGTGTCTATAAATGCACCCAACAATAATATTGGATTTTTTGGAAAAATTAATTCAACAAAAGTGGATTTTAAAAAATTAGGTGAATAAATCATCAAATCATCTCTTTGTTTGTGTATTAACTTTGTTTGTATAGTAATTGTAGCTAAGGCCAGTTTACAATCATTTACAGATCCTATCAATTCACCTGAGAAAATGTATGATTGGTGTAGACAAAATATCAAAGGAATATATTTTCAATAGATTTCAAAAGATGAAATTGTATTACATTGGGAAAAGTTTAAATAAGAAGAACATTATGCTACTTGTTAAACAACTTTAGGAACAAAAACCACCATTATTTTACTGTTTTATACCAAGTTATAAGAGTTTGTTGACTTGTCAACACAATGCACAAATTGATTATGTAATAAAGAGTACTATTATGTAATAAACAATCAATTTAAACATTGAATCTTTTAAATAAATTTTTGCTAAAAAACTGTTTAAATCAAAAAAAAATTTTTTTTTTGAAATATTCAATGCTTATATTGATTGCTTATTACATAATAATATTCTTCATTACATAATCAATTTGTGTATTGTGTTGACAAGTTAAATAACTCTTATAACTTGTTGTATAAGTTGTAATCTAAATTTGAAAGTGATAATCAAATAAGTCAAATTAATGGGAGAGGGTGGAATAGTGAATGTATTGGAAAAATATTATAAAATTTGTAGTCATGATGTTAAATATTAGGTAAATTAGACCAAAAGTCTTTTATTTCAGTTTTACCTAATACACTACTAATAAGTTTTATATGAAAACATTAAAAACTAAATTTTAGTTTTTATATGTGTATGTTTAGTGGTGTGTTTGGGCATAAAAGCACTTCATATGTCAGACATAAAACCAGACACACCATGTAAGGAGAAGTGTTTAATTACATTTTTTTTCTAAGTTCTGCAAAAAAATGTGAATGTTAAAAAGTAAATGGAGGGGGGAGGAGGCAGGAAAGTACTAGGGCTATTTAAAAACTGAGTTTAATTCAGGCATAGTTAAAGACTTATTTCTAGTACTGATTATGAAATACTTTTTAATTCATACATACTTTGTATTATAATATATAATACAAACAAAAGTACAACAATAACTTTATTTTATTGTTTTTAATGCATTTTGGGTAATTTTCATTGTTCTCATTTTGTAATTTCCCCATGATTACCCACTGTTCCTAGGTTACCGGTGGTTTGAAGTGGAGGCACATTTTCCTAAGTTTTAGCCGCAGCCATTTTTAGGTCTATAATTTTTTACTGAATTGTATCTTATCAGTAACTTTCTAAAAATTTAGAAGCCTATCATATATAGAAACTAAAAAAATATTTCTTTTTACATCTTAAAATGAAGGTTATGTTAATTGACTCATCGAAAATCAACTTTTTAAAATTACAAACAATTTTTTTGGTTTTTTAGGTAGCCATTATGGAAAAAATGTGACATTCAAGAATTCAATGTAAAAGTTTTATTAAACTAAATCTAGAGTTGTATACAATAAAAAAAACTAAAGATTTTCCGAAATTTTGTTTTTTAAAATATATAGCTTCAAAGTAGGAACAAAACATGTTTTTGCTACTGAAGTTTTTATTTTTGGAAAAATCAGAAATGACCATATCTCATAAACCACAAAAGATTTTATGCTGAAATTTTCAGGAATTGCTTTTCTCATTGATATTAACAAATCCACTAAGTTTCATCAAAATCTGAGGGGGTCCATGCTAGACCTGGGTCTAGTTGGCATGGAATGACTCTTACATTAAAAAATTAAAAAAAAAAAATTGAAAAACTCAATTAAAAATCATAAAGCGTTTGTAAAAAAGCCTAAATGCCTTCCTAAAAAAAACTTGTGAAGGTTATGTGCCAAAGTATTTGCAATCAACTAATAACTTGGTTAATAAGTTTTTATTTTTTTTAATTTTTGGATTGTCCTAAACTACTTCTGTCCTAAACTGCCTCCTTATCGCCTACTAAAAGAAATTGTTATATGAAGCATAACATAATTTTATTACTTAGATTTATGTAACATAATTTTAGCTATGTTACATAAATCTAAGTTTTTACTAAAAATGTATTTTCAAATATGAGTTGATTTGAATTGAATTTTATATTGTAGAGATTTTTCTTTTTAACAGGTAGTTTTAACTCCAATCCAGCTTGTGTTAAAAAAGAAAGTGTTGTTTGTGTCATTTTAGTTGCCACCTTCTTGACGGGTTGATGTTTAATGATATTATTATAAAAACTATAGAAAAAATTGATAGTTTTAAATTTATTTAAAAATCATTCATTGCGATGACCTCGCTGGAAAAACTACATGAAAAATAAACGAAAACATTGAATAAGGAATAAATTAAAAAAAAAGTTGGAAGAGAAGAATGTCCTTAGTTACATACAACAATTTCAAACAAAAATAAAATAAGAACTTCTATCTTTAAAGTTAACGAGGTTAAGGAAAAAAACTTGCACTTTTTTTTTTCTATATCACATATATTATACTGCTTATTAAAATCAATTTAAGGACTAAAATTAATGCTGATGATAATTAGTTAATATTAAAGTTATTAATTATCCTGCACAAATACAGAGTCACAGAGGGGTGATATAAAAATGAATAAAAAGCTAATATATATATATTTTTAAGATTCCAATTACAAAAAAAAAAAAACGTTGTAATTAATTAGTAATTATAATTAATTAATCATAAATAAAAACAATTTATAATAAGTAATTATAAATCGCTTATAAATTATTCATATTTTGCATCTTGCAGCAATAAAAAAAAAAAAAAAGATGACTAAAGGATTGTTGATAAATTATGCAATGCAAAATTTATTACAAATTAGAAGAAGGAGATTATTTGCTCTTTTGTGCAACAATTTTCATTGAACTTAAAGAACTATTTTAAGTTTTGGTTTAATTAAAGGGAAAACCTTTGGTCTTAACTGTTTTGTTTAATAGTTAAACTTAGCGTTGCATAATTTATGGATGATCCTTTAGAACAGTTAAAAAGTGTTAAAAGTTTATTTAGAACAGTTGAAAAGTGTTGAAAAGTTAATACAGCTATTTTTATATATTATATTATTAAATTGATGCATCGAATATTTTTATTACATTTATTAAAATAATAATAAAAATCATTTAAAAAAAATGATTTTCACCGAAATGATTTTCAAAATGAAACTAATCTAAATAAGTGAATCAAAAATTTTTTTATATAAATAAATATAAATAGTTTATACATGTAAATTATTACAAATTATATCCTGATTATTTGACAAACATTTTTCATAACTTTTAACCGGTTTTTTCCTAACTTTTAACATTTGTTTAACTGGTTGACCAGCAAGATTTTATTTTGGGAGGTCAAAATAGCAATTTTAGTCATTTCAATGTCCGTTCACAGGCCATTAGTTTTCACACTGAAAAATGTTAGATTTATATTAATAATAATAGCTTTTTGTAATAAATAAATAAAAAAGCGAAAACTATTTTTAATAAATTTAATTATGAAACTACTAAATAAATGATTTTTTTTTTAATTCTGATCCACTCTTTATTTATTATTACTTTACTTATTTATTTTGATTCACCTCTTAACAAGGCTGCAAGCAGCCACTATTATGTTGGAAGTTACTAGATATCAGTTGACAGAAGAATTGAAAAGTTATAGGTTGTATGAGTCAGAAAAAAGGGTTGAAGTGCTGGGAAAATAACTAGACAAATAAAAGTTTTTAGAGTATGCAGAGACAGATACAGTAAAGGAATGAGACTTTGCTGAATGATGAGTCAAGCGAGAATGAGTTTAAGTAGGCAGAACTAGGGATGATAGAAAAAGTGTTCACCTTCGAGGAAGACTTTAATAAAGTGGTAAGAAAGAAATGATTTGATAATCTCAAAAACTTTCCCAGACACACCATATGATGCAAGTTTATGAAGAAGACCAGCATACCAACTTTTTGAAAACTGATTAAAAACTTTTTTTTGTAACTTTTTATTTTCATGGATTATAAATCGAAATCTTTAAAAAAATTCACTTAAAAAGTACCAGTTTTTTAGAAATTTATAAATTGCAAAAAACAACCGGTAATACCAGGATCCAGGATGGGGTACTCCCAGGTTTAAATGCATAATGTAATGCATTAAATACATAATGTAATACTTGTGAATTGAAACATAAAATTATCTCTATATTTTATATCTATTATAAAAGTTAGCTTCTATTCTATAATTATCTATAATTATAAAATATGCAGTTATAAATTTGTTTGTGATGGATTGATACCTGAAGTAAACTCAACTATATGACTCAACAACCAATTCCATTTTTGTTGGGGTGACTTCATGACTTCCACTGCTTGCACAATATCTTCATTTGCCTATTTATAAAATAAAATGAAGGTAATAAGGTTAATTTCAATTTGATGAAAACACTAGAGATAAAGATACAAAAAACATAGGGGTACATTGGAACTATACAGTTTGAAAAAAAAAAACTTTTAAATAAACTTATTTTTTATTATATTTAAATATTTGTAATATACACATTAATATAATAATTATTTCTTTCTTTTTTTAATTTACTTTTTTTTTTATTATATTAAATGCAGATTTAGTTGCACATTAAAATGTCATAAATGAAGTTGAATTGAAATAAAAATATGGAAAGGGTTAGCTTACATTACATTCTTACATGCATCTGCTTATTTCTATTTAACTTCACATTCATTTTAATTAAATAAATGCTTTTAAGTTAAAAATTAATTTTTATTTATTTGAGTTAGAAGTTTTAAATGTACTAAGTATATTAATAAGAAGTTTTAAATGTACTAAGTAACGCAATGTAATAAGGGTTACTTTGATGCGTGGATAACATTCTTGACTATTAAACTATTTTAACAGATTCTTAATTTTTAAGGTGTAAACAGATTCTATATGCTGACCAGCCTCACACATCTTTTTCATCTATTAGGCTGGCATAGATGCATTTAGTTTAGGATGTTGAATGCTGGATCTTCTTGACTCAATGCATGGGTTTTGCTTGTGTCTGTTTTTATGACTAGGCAGCTCATTCTATTATCTCCTAATGAGGGTACAGCTCTGAAACTCAGTTTTATAGTTTCGAGGCCAACTGGTAGTCAGGCTTCCCTAACTCTGCGGTACTTCTCAGAGAGGCTGATTCGATCAGCAGCTGTAAAATATCAAAGTATTAACAGTGCTATGTTACGCATGGATGGTGTCCCTGTTTTTACTTTTGTTGTGCATTGTCAAGGCCAATGTTATGGCTTAGAGTTTATTAATGGTAACAAGGCAATTGCTTGGGCTATCAAGCAGTGTACTGAGTACTATCTATGGTTTGAGTCAAGTTCTTTAACAAATTTAAAAATGAATAAAGTAACAAAAACTATAAAACACAAAAACCATCGTCACCACCAAGTTCTCTAAACCTATCATTCACAAATATTAGTGGTCTTTGAAGTAACCTTTCTTCTGTTGAGTCTTATCTCTTGCAAAGTTCACCAGACCTACTTGCTCTTTGTGAGACTAATTTGAGTTCAGCTGTCTCATCTTGCGATCTTAGTGTTGATGGTTTTCTTCCTTTAACTTGTAAAGACTCCAACAGTCACATACTTGGCATTTGCATTCATAAGAATTCACTTATTTATCGGAAAACTAGGTTTACATCAACAGAATATTCTTTTATGTGCTTTTATTTTAGTACCATTTTAGTATTTTAGTTTTTCTCTAAGTTCTAAGTTGGCTTTTCTTTATCTCAAGACTGCACTCTTTTTGATCTTATTTATGATCAAATTAACCAAGCCCTCTCTCTTAATCCTTCAGCCATTCTTATTGTTGTTGGTGACTTTATTGACCATCACAGTGAATGGCTTGGCTCTAGTGTCAGTAACTCGACAAGTGTTAAAGCTCACACCATTTGCTTTTCTCAATCTCTAACACAAATAGTCAACTTTCAAACTTGCTCTTCAGACAATCTGAATTATTTACCTTCTCTAACTGATAGATTGTTTCTGATCCTTGTCAGTGCTCAGTTTCTAAATTCACACTTAATTGCTTCTGATCACGGTTTGATCTCTCTAAAACTATTATCTCATTCTTCTTCAACATCATAATCCCACTATCATCATATCCATTACAACTACCTTAAAGCTGACTGGGACTCTTTCTGTGATTTTCTTCCTTATGGCCCTTGGGTAGAAATCTTTCATCTTTCTGTTAAAAAATGTGCTTTTTACATAACTTGGATTCAAGATGGCATGGAAACCTTTATTCCTTCTCGACGATTCCAGGTCAAGCCTCACTCTTCTCTATGGTTTTCCTCTCATTTTGCTGCTGTAATTTCCGATCATAACCATTACTTCCATATCTATCAGCAAAATAATTCTCCAGAAAATAGATACCTGTTTACTATTGCTAGAAACCATAGCAAAAAGGAGCTGGAACTGTTGTCTATACTTTTAAAACTATTCCGCTTTCTACACTTTTAAAAAGATAAAGCTTTTCCAGATAATCTGTTATCTCTATTTTTAAAAATTATGGAGAGCGATCTGACTCGTCTAACTACCATCCTATTAGTCTTCTTCCATAAAGAATATCATTAACAATGTTTTTGAGTCTTTAATTAACAAATACTTAATTTCTCATCTTGAATCTAATAACTTACTTTCTGATCATATACTTTGTGAAGAGGTTAAGTCTCCCAGAAATTATCACATCTAAGGTGGCATTGTTCGCTGATATACTACCATATATTCTTGTCTTAATAAGAAGCCAACACCTTCTGCTTGCTTAGAGGAGGCATTTGAATTTGAAAAGCATCTCACTTCTGCTACTGCATGAGCTCTCAATGGCTGGTGAACTTTATTTCCTATTACTTCCTATATTTATGAACGGTAAGGTACTAAATGAGTCATCTAGGATTAGTCTTCTAGGATTAACTCTTACTTCTAACCTTTTTTGGAAACCATATATCAAGTCCATTACAAAGTTATCATCTGCTAAGGTTGCATCTCTTTATTGCATAGATCATTCAGGTCATATAAAAATCCGGAAAGTTCTTTGGATAAAATATCCTGAAAAAATCTGGAATATATTTCCTCTTTATTTTGCTTTTAGCTGAGTTGTTTACTATTTTTTTTTAACTTTTCTTAATTTTTGTATGAATAATGAGTAAAAAAGCTTAAAAAACAAATATATTCCAAAAATATACACCTAAACTTGAAAAAACTAAAAGTTGAGAAAAATATCCGGAATTCCGAAAATATCTGGAAAAAGATAATCCCTGATATTAAGCTCACCACTTCCTTACTCTGAATTCTATTCTTTATCTATATAAATCTCAAATTTGTCTTTGTATGAAATACTGTTGCCATTATGAGAGTGGATCTTCCAATGATGCCCTTTCTCTTAGAGACAAGGTGGAAAAAAGCATTGTAAACATAGTTGGACCTGCTCTTGCAGTCAACATCCAACCATTATCACATTGTGGTAATGTTGCTTCTCTTTCTCTTTTCTATAAAAAATATGAGTGCTGCTCTAAAGAGCTTACATCTCTTGTGCCATCTACTAATATTATTTTTGTGTTACTCGTCATTTAATTAAGCCTCCTCCTTTTACTGTGACTGTTCGTAAGTGCTCGAAATATTCTTATTCATCTAGTTTTTTTCTTCAAACATCAGTTCAAGGAAAAAAACGAAAAAGAATTATTGTTTTCCTGATTCATATAATTTGCAATCTTTCAAGTCATCTGTTAATTGTTATCTTGCTTTATAAACTTCATCTTTTGTCTACAGTAACTTCCAATTCTAATAGTGGTTACTTACAAACTTGTTGGAAGTAATGTTTAATAAAAAAAACAACTAGATGTTAAATAAACAAATATAACTATTTTAATTACACATAATAGTAACACAGAATATAACCAATGGTAACCATAACCACAGAATATGGCGAGCATAAGTTAAACTTCTAATTTTTTTTGTTTCAGAAAAACTTTTTTTTTTTTAGGCCTTTAGGGGAGTAACATTGACAGTTGAACCCCAAAAATTATCTATCAATAATTAAATAATTAATTAAATTCTTCATCAGTTTATGAACTGATGAAGAATTTAATTAGCAACTTCATTGGTAAACATAGAAATACTGCATACAAAATTTAGTTAGTAACAGCTAAAAAAAATATTTTCTCAAGATGTGTCTATGTTATCCTTTACCTTATTGCTGATATTAGTCTCTAAAGATAAACACTTCTGAACAAATAAAACTATATACTACACCTCTAAATAATATGTTGTGAAAAAACATTCAGACCTTTTATATTGATGTGTGAATTCCATTTTTATATTTTTATATCTCTGTATTCTATTTTTTATATAATGTTTTAGTTTTTTTTTTTTTGATTATGTATAGTAGATATAGAATACTTATAAAATATTTATTTTACTTTATTACTAGCTTATCATTTTAATAGATATTGAATAAAACTTAACTGAATATCAATTAAAAATATATACCCTATAAGACAGATATTTTAATTAATATTCAATACATTTCTGTTCATACAAGTAATAGAGTGAAGTAGTTTGTTACTACACCATACACCCCTAGACACTCAATGTTTTCTTTAAAAAATATTTTTTTACTTAAGTCTTATGAATACTAATAACTAAGCTGATACTTGTGTTTATAATTGTAATGTCTTACTTTTTCCATTTTTTGAAATAGAACTTACCTCACCCAATTCACCTACAACTATTCTTATAGGATCAGATAGAATATCTCTGCACAACCACTCCACTTTTTTTTTCATGGTTGCACTAAAAAGTAAACCTAAAACAAAATATAATATTTATGTAATTATAGGTACAACAAAGGTAAAACATGTTCATAATTACACATTACAAAATCATTATTAGAATCTTCTTATTCTGATATGTATGTGCAAAATTATATTCACCTATTATTTTGGGTGCATAATTATACACACCCATATTTACAACACATGCACATATGCCTATGTGCATGTGTTGTAAATATGGGTGCTTACATGTGTTGTAAATATATCTGCTAACACACACCATATCTAATGATAGGGTATGTGTCAAGAAATCACAGTTTGTTGCTTCTATTTGTAAAAAATCAAAAAATTCATTCGCAAATCAAAGCAAGAAAGTTCTTATTGAATCTCTACAAACAGCTCATTTTAGAGATGACATCACAAGATTGATGTTATCACAAGTTAAAAAATAGTTTTAATAAACTTACATTAACTAGATTTGGCAGTAACAAAAAGCCTAGCTAACTTATTAGGTTCATATCTTTGCAGATTTCGTTTAGTACATCAAGGTGCAACTACTTCACTTTTTTGGCCTTTCTTATTTTTTAGCCAAAATCTTTAACAAGTCTTAGCAATGAGAAGTAGTATTATGCACAGCCATTAAAGATCTTACATCACATCATTGAAATGTAACAACTTTTTATCAGTTTCTCTAATCCTTAAGATAAGCATCTTAAGCAACTAAGTCTGAAGATAGTATTACCGAAAGCAGTATTACTGCAGCTATAGTTGATAAAAGATGCTTTTCTCTACATGCATAACAATTTTTCGAAATTGACCAAAAAAAAAGAAGTTGTATTCATAGATCCATTCAGAGAGAGTTTATAAAAGATATAGCTGACAGACATTTCTAAGACCTAGTGAGATTCTGAAAGATATATATTAGTAAGTTTTAGCTAAAACTATGCAGAAATGTACATATGTACAACTGTGTTGTACATATAAACACACAATTGTGTTCTAATATGTGCCAGGCAGTTTCACAAAAATTTTAACAGCTTTTAACTTTTTTTAGAGAGAGTTGAGTTATTAGAGTTAATATAGAAACTTTTATCAAATGCTTTTCCAATAAATTAACCTTCGGAATTAGGAAAAATGAGATCGGCAATAATTAGCCGACCTCAATCTTTTGATAAAAAAAAAATTGATACAAAGGTCTTACTATAAAACATAGAAACAAGGTAGGCAAAAAATTGCTGACCTCAAATACTTTTAGGTTGGCAGTTAGGTTTGCATTCCCAAATGCCGACCCAAATTCCGAGGGTTGTATATATATATATATATATATATATATATATATATATATATATATATATATATATATATATATATATATATATATATATATATATATATATATATATATATATATATATATATATATATATATATATATATATACACATCACCACTGAACTTAACTACAATTATTTTGAATTTCACATTTTCAGATTTTTGAATATCTAATCGAAATATAGTTAATATATTACTATATATATAACTGATCTGGATAGTATTATTATTAACTATTTCATTATTAAAAAAAAATATTTGTAAATTAAAAACTTACATTGCCTATCAGGACGCACATTATTTGCAATTGAACGAACTTGTGGTTCTAAAATATTAAAACTTAAAAAATTAAACTTAAAAATATCAAATACAAAAAAAATTTTTTTTATACTCTAACACTTTTTTTTATACAATTTTTTTAAACAGCAAATTGTAATGTGTAATTTTTTTTTTTAAATTTCATATTTAGTACTTGATATTTATTTGTGGTAATATCTATTAAGGTAATTGTGACCATTTGCATTTTTTCACTACTTATCACTCACTACTTAAAGCATAAAACTTTTTAGAATAAAAATAACAAAATCAAATTCTTTTCCGAGAAAAAGTGAGGTGAGCATATTAAATTTTGAAAACAAATTTTGTACCAAATTTTTCTTTTTTTCTTTTTTTTTTTACCTCTCTACTTAGTCTCTGGTCATGAAATTAAAAAATTCAATTATTGGAAAATGTGCAGCAGCAGAGTGCTATTATGTTTAAAGATATTGAAATAGAGGACAATCATGCCTGTAATTTAAATTAAAATTGTTGATTTTAAGAAATAAACACAGGTTATTATAAGAAGACTGTGGTTATTTTTTGTATTTTAAAAAAATTATATTTTTTGTTTTAAAATGTGATTTAAATTATTAACAGTTATTAATTATATACAATACTTTTGCAAGGTTTAAAAAGAAAAACACAAATGGAACCCCATCTGCGTACTCTCAAACCATACTTGCTACTTTTAAAAACTACATACCAAACCCCATGTCAAACATCCTATCTGCCTCATCAAACACAAGATATGTCACACGAAGTAAGTTGGTAGCTTTTGCTTTAATAAGATCAATTAATCGACCCTACAAAAAAAAAATGAATATAACCATTTTTATCATCAACACTATTTTTTTCTAAATTTTAATTTTGTTTAAAAAACTTACAGGTGTGCAAACAACTATTTCTGCACCTTGTTGAAGACCTTTCGTTTGTTCCCATTTGCTACCACCTCCATAACAAGCAACTGACTAAAATTGTTATATTATTACATATCATTCTAATATATTATCCTAGTAATGATATGAATAAAACTCATTCTAATAATAATAGGAATAATAAAGCCCATTCTAATAATGATAAAAATAGTGGTAAATACAATTAATAAACATCGCGACAAATCTTCATTTATTTTATTAAAATTAATTCTCCCTAAAGTTATAATACTCACTCGCAAATTGTAACACTTTCCAAATCTTTTGCATTCTGAATTAATTTGCTGACATAATTCTCTTGTTGGAGCACAAATCAATGCTATTGGCCCATCCCCTTCTTTTAGAACTGGTTGTGCCATAATATGAACCAACATTGGCCACACAAAAGCAGCTGTCTTACCACTGCCTGTTCGAGCAATTCCTATAATATCTCGCCCACTTAAAGCAACAGGAACTGCCTATAAATATTTCTGATAAATATCTCATAAACATTCATTAAAAATAAATAAACTTTAAAAATAAACACTTTACTTAAAAAATTAATCATTATTGTCAATCATTAATATTATGTTAAGTTTAGTTAGCAGCATAATGCTTTAAAATGAATTCTGAGCCATTGATTTGGATTAAAATGTTTTAAGTTAAATAATAGTTCTGTTCATAAAAACAAAAACACATAAATATGTTAAATTCAAATTTAATATTAAAGAATATCAAAATTACGAATGTATTTATTTAAAAAAGTACTTTCAGTAAAAACATAAAATACATAGGTATTAATATAGTTAAAATATAAAATACTATATAAAAACATGTGTATATATATATATATATATATATATATATATATATATATATATATATATATATATATATATATATATATATATATATCAGGGCTCGAATTAAGCATATCGCAAATCGTGATTGCTTTTCACACCTTGGCGATTAGCTTTTTCTTTAAAAAAATAATTGTTTTTTTTTTCTAATCATTTTTTTTATTAGGTTTATAAAGTACGTCTCTTTCAACATAAAGCAATTCAACATAAAGCACTTTTGAATTTAAATTACTTTAAATCTCTGCGTGGAAGCCAATAATATTTTAAAAGGTTGTTAAAGCAGTTTAAAAGGAAAAGACATTAGAGCAAATTTTTTCTTTCATTCTTTTTTTTTTAACAAAACAGACTGGTTTTTATTTTTGTTTTCAAAACGTTGCACTAAGTTAACTTATTATCAGAGGCGCTAAAAGCCTTTTTTGATCTTTGAGATAGCAAATTCCAAACATTTATATGTTTATACTTATGTCAAATAAGGATGCTTTGCAAAAAATTGCAATGATTGGAGCTTGGGAACAAAAAAGCCCCAAAATTTGTCCACCCTGCCCCAAACGTGAAAGCAACAAATTGATGAAATATTTTTTGTACTATTTAACTAGACTTATATTCATCAATAAATTTTAAACTTTATAGTAAAATAAATTAGCGTTCAATAATTATGACCAAATAAAGTTTATCGATGAATATAAATCTAGTTGAAAATAGTACAAAAAATATTTCATCAACTTGTTGCTCTCACGTTTGGGCAGGGTGGAACCATTTTGGGTTTTTTTTTTTCCCAAAAAAATTTTGCTCCAATCATCGCAATTTTTTGCAAAACATCCTTATTTGACATAAGTATAAACATATAAAATGTTTGGAGTTTGCTCCATTTCTGGAAGTTAGCTATCTCAAAGACCAAAAAATGTTTTAGGTGCCCCCCTGCTTATTATTAATAACTTAAATCATAACTTTATCAACAATTTTATATTATTCATTTTACTACTGTTAGTACATTAAAATATATGTTTTATAAATATAAAATATTTTTTTTTTAAATTTTTTTTAATAGTTAAGCCATGCAAAAAGAAACCAGATTTTTGCGTTAAACTTTTTCACTTTCTTTCTCATGAACCTTTAAAAGTGAGATTTACTTTGATTTATTAAATGGATAAAGTACATAACAGTAAATTTACTTATAAACTAAATCAAAACAACCAGTAACGTTAACCAGTAACGTTAACCAGTAAGTTATTTAAATATTAACTTATCAGCTATGTTTACTTAGTATACTCAGAGACATGCAAAAATTAGCCATACAAATGTTTCTATTTATGTCTTATATGTTGTTAGCACATAATATAAACTTCTAACTAAAAATTATTTTAACAAGAAATCTAGAATAGAATATGAAAAACGCGATACAATTTTTTATATTTAAATTTTATGTAAACCGATATCAAGATTAAACATTTTCTATAAATACTCAAGTTGTTTTAAAAAGAAATTTATTTGAACTAAAGAATTCTTCTAAAAAAAAGTCTTCTAAAATTCTCTCATTCAAATATTTTTGCGATTAAAATTTGAAATTAAAAAAATGAGAAAAATTGAAAAAATTTTAACATACAATAATTATAAATTTAATTGCAGCGGCATCCACAATACACAGTGGCATAGCGAGGGTTGTTCCTGAAAGTCAAACGTATATCTAGTTGCAGTAACAATATCAGATTCAGAACATTGCACAAGCGAGGAAAAAATTTTTATTTAAATTGTAAACATTTTGAATAAAAAAAAAATTTTTATTTCTCAAAAATAGTTTTTAAAGAAACATTCTTATGCAAAAATTAAACCAATGGTTAAACAAATGTTAAACCAAAAATTAAATTATGAAAAATTTAAACTTAAAAAAAAAAAAAAATTATTTTACTTCTGTTAAAGGAAATTTTTTTTCCAAAAAAATAATTAAGTATATTAAGCATATATTTAAGTATTTAAAGTGCTTTTAAATACTTAAGTATATGCTTAAATTTTTTTTTGAAATTTTTTTTTTCACAATTAGATTTGTTTTCATTAATTTGAGCCCTGAATATAAATATATAGACACACATGCATACACGCAAAGCATATAATTTTCATAAAAATAAAAGCTTATAAAGGTCATAATTGAACTGTAAAATACTTAAAAATACCTGTGATTGAATTGGCGTAGGCTTAGAATAATTTGAGGAGCGAATAACACCCATTAGATGATCATCAAATCCGAAATGACCAAAGCTAATTGCTGGTCGTGCAGGGTCTGCGCCCATCACCTGTTAAACCAAAGCATTATTGTATATCATTACTATTATTATATATTATTATTGATATTATTACTCAAGTTTAGGAAATATTAATCCTATATATAAAAATCCTATATCTTAAATCAAATTATATTAGTAGTAATAGTTTTAATGAATAAAAATTGCTTGTTGTTGTTGTTGTTCGTTTTCTAATTTACTAAATTACTTATTAATTACTTTAATTAGAGTTTTAAGAAGTTAAAAGTGAAATGGCAACTTTTAGTACAGTTCTTTTAAGTTAGTTTTGACTTTACTCTCTTGTAAAACATTTTAATAGGTAATTACTTTAAGTAGGTACTCTAGGTAGGCAAATTAAGTTTTTTTTTTTTTTTTTTTTTTTTTTTTTTTTTTAACATCTTCACTTCCAACAAGGCTGCAAGCAACCACTATAAGAGTTGGAAGTTACTGGAAGAGAAAAGACTAAATCTGTAGAGCAAGATAACGATTGACTGATGACTTAAAAGATTGCAAATTATATAAATCAGGAAAGCAAGATGAAGGAAGCGAATTCCAAAGAACTGATGTTCGAGGAAAAAAACTAGAAGAATAAGAGTTTTTGAAGCACTTAGGAACAGTCACAAAAAAAGGATGAGACTTAATTGAATGGCGAGTAACACGAGAATGAATTTTAGTAGATGGCACAAGGGACGCTAGCTCTTTAGAGCAGTGCCCATTATAGTATTTGTAGAAAAGAGAAAGAGAAGCAACATTACGACGATGTGACAAAGGTTGGAGATTGGCTGCCAGAGCAGGTCCAACTATGTTTACAATTCGTTTTTGCACCTTGTCTAAAAGAGAAAGAGCATCATTAGAAGATCCGCCCCAGATGTGGCAACAGTATTCCATACAGGGACGGATTTGAGATTTATAGAGATAGAGAATAGAATCTGGAGTAAGAAAGTGTCGAGCTCGATAAAGAGATGCAACCTTAGCAGATGCTAATTTTGCAATGGATTTGATATACGGTTTAAAAGAAAAATCAGAAGTAAGAGTTAATCCTAGAAGATGAATGGTAGATGACTCATCTAGTACATTACCATTCATAAATATAGGAAGATCTAAATTATTACGATAACGATTGGCCGAATAAAATTGAGTTTTATCTGAATTAAAGTTCACCAGCCACTGTGAGCCCCATGCTGTAGCAGAAGTGAGATCCTTTTCAAGCTCAGATACCCCCTCCAAGCAATCAGAGAGTGTAGGCTTCTTATCATGACAAGAGTAAATGGTAGTGTCGTCAGCGAATAATGCCACCTTAGATGTGAGAATATCTGGAAGATCGTTAATGTAAATTAAAAAGAGTATAGGGCCAAGGATTGAACCTTGAGGAACCCCTGAAGTTACAGGATGTGAAGAAGAGTGTTGTCCATCGAGGACAACTTTTATACTACGATTGGAAAGAAAGGACTCAATAATCTTAAAGACGTTACCAGCTACACCATAAGAAGAAAGCTTATGGAGAAGACCAGCATGCCAAACTTTATCAAAAGCTTTAGAAATGTCAAGTGCGATAGCCTTTACCTCTCCACCTCTATCTAATGCACGGTAAAACCTATCGGTTATTACTGTTAGCACATCAGCTGTAGAACGAGAAGACCGAAATCCATATTGATGATCAGAAAGTAAGTTATTTGATTCAAGATGAGAGATTAAGTGTTTGTTGATTAAAGATTCAAAAACCTTGCTTATGACAGGAAGAAGACTAATGGGACGGTAGTTAGATGAATCAGATCGCTCTCCGGAATTTTTGAAAATAGGGATAACAGATGCTGCTTTCCAGCATGATGGAAAACAAGACTCTGATAAGCACTTGTTAAATAGTTTAGAAAGTATGGATGAAAGCTCCGGAGAACACCTCTGCAAGACTACAACAGGAATGTTGTCAGGACCACAAGCTGTTGAAGAGTCTAAGCAGGAAATTACTTTAGATACAGAAGCTGAAGTGATGCGAATGTCAAGCAAGGGATCAACCTGTTTGACGGCTATGTCAGGTAAAACGCAACTAGTGGAATCAAGAGATGATATTGATGAAAAGTTCTTAGCAAACAATTCAGCTTTGTCTTTAGGTGAGGTGACAAAGTCTGAACCATACAAGAGAGAAGGAATAACAGATTTGCCCTTATTATTGATACTGTTAAAGATTCTCCAGAAGTCTCGAGAGCCTAATTTTTGTGATGAGATACGAGATTTAATGACCTGGGAATAGCGAGCTTTAGCGTCAGACAAAACCTTTTTACAATGGTTTCTGGCGATAGTGAACAGATGTCTGTTTTCTGGAGAATTGTTTTGCTGATAGATATGGAAGTAACGGTTTCGATTAGAAATTGCTACTGCGCAATGTGAGGAAAACCAAGGAGAAGAGTGAGGCTTGACCTGGAATCGTCGAGAGGGAATAAAAGATTCCATGCCAGCCTGAATCCACGAAGTTATGTAAGAAGCACATTTGTCAGCAGGAAGACGAAAGATTTCTACCCAAGGGCCATCACGAAGAAAATCACGGAAAGAGTCCCAGTCAGCTTTAAGGTAGTTGTATGTGGTACGATGATAGGGGGATTCTGATGAAGTAGAAGAATTTGATAATAGTTTTAGAGAGATCAAACCGTGATCAGAAGTACCTAAGGGTGAATGTGGAGAAATTGAGCACTGACTAGGATCCAAAACAAGACATAAGTCGAGTAGAGAAGGTAAATGATTAGGGTTGTCTGGAAAACGAGTTGGAAAGTTGACTATTTGAGTTAGAGATTGAGAAAGGCAAAAGTTGAGAGCCTTAACGCCAGCAGAGTCACTGACACTAGAGCCAAGCCAATCGGTGTGATGGGCATTAAAGTCACCAACAACGACAATATTGGCCGATGGATAAAGAGAGAGGGCTTGGTCAATTTGATCAGAAATAACATCAAGAATAGTGCAATCTTGGGATGAAGGAGAGCGATATAGAACAAAGAGAAAGGCGATAGAGTGAAGTTGTGCTAAACGAAAGCACATAAATGAATAGTCTGTAGATTCAAACCTAGTTTCACGACAAATGGGTGAGTTCTTACGAATGTAGATGCCCAGGCCAAGCATGTGATTATTGGAGTCTTTACGAATTAAAGGAAGATAACCATCAACACTAAGATCACAAGATGAGACAGCTGAACTCAAATTAGTCTCACAAAGAGCAAGTAGGTCTGGTGAACTTTGCAAGAGATAAGACTCAACAGAAGAAAAGTTACTTCGAAGACCACGAATATTAGTAAATGATAGGTTTAGAGAACTTGGTGATGACAATGGTTTTTTGTGTTTTTTAGTTTTAGGTACTTTAGTCATTTTAAATTTATAAAGAACTTGACTCAAGTATAGATAGTACTCAGTACACTATTTAACAACTAAGCAATAGCCTCATTACTATTAATAAACCCTAAGCCGTAACAAAGGGCTCCAAATGTGGCCTCTGCAATGCACACCAAAAGTACAAACAGGGACACCATCCATGCGCAACATGGCACTGTTAGTACTCTGATATTTTTCGGCTGTTGATGGAATCAGCCTCTCTGAGAGCTACCACAGAGTTCGGGAAACCTGACTACCAGCCGGCCTCAGAACCATAAAACTGAGTTTTAGAGCTGTACCCTCATTAGGAGATAATAGAATGAGTTGCCCAGTCATAAAAATAGAGACACAAGCAATACCCACGCATTGAGTCAAGAAGATCCAGCGTTCAACATCCTAAACTGGAAACAATGTATTAAAAATACATCTGCGCCAGCCTAATAGATGAGGAAGGGGTGCGAGGCTGGTCAACAGATAGAATCTGTTTACCTCTTAAGTCTTTGCCTAGGAGGCCTTCTACAAGACAGCAGCTGGATGCATGTAACATCTGCCCAAGATGAGTATTTTTATCGAGACACCATCTCTAGCCTTTACTCAACCAAGAGCCCCAAGGCAGGGGGTGTTTTAAATCGGAGTTAACTTCTCCTAGCCTTTGCCTAAAAAAGCGTATCCTACAAGGCAGCAGGACATGGAGCAGGTTGTACTGGGTTACATGTTACCAGTAGCAGGAAAACCTGACCTGACCTGAGTAAATGTTATGTTATGTATGATTAATATTATGTAAATGTTATGTATGATAAATATTATGTAAATGTTATGTATGATTAATATTTTATTTCACTTTTAGAGCCATTGAAAGGAGCTGAAATGCTTTTTAGTTCTATTTACTTAATTTAATTTTTTTAGCTTGAAATTGATCTGTCCCTATTCTTAAAACTTTCTATTGGTACTCACAAGACACTCTGTTAAATTTTTTCAAAATTGAATAAGATTCAGGGGGGCCACCTCAAATCTGAAACTTGCGACAAGACCCTAAACAGAAGAAAAAAAAGTTTTTTAAATGTATGTCATGTTGGGTCTCAAAAGAAGCGAAATTTTATTAAAAAAATTTTAAAAACAATAAAAATTTTACATAATATTTATTATTATAAGTTTTATTGCATAAAAATTATTTTTTAGCAAAAAATTATAAAAAAGCCATTTTTTCATGGTTTTTTGTCGAAATTTTTTTTCAAGGTTTTTTTAACAAAAAATCATAACTATTTTTGAAATTTTTATAAAGTTTCGCTTCTTTTGAGACCCAACATGACATACATTTGAAAAACTTTTTTTTCTTCTGTTGAGGGTCTCGTTGCAAGTTTCAGACTTAATGTGGCCCCCCTAAATCTCATTCAATTTTGAAAAAATTTAACAGAGTGTCTCGTGAGAACCAACAGATGGTTTTAAGAATAGGGACAGATCAAATTTTGAAAGTATGGGGCGTTTGATGCACCCTTATATATATATATATATATATATATATATATATATATATATATATATATATATATATATATATATATATATATATATATATATATATATATATATATATATATATAATAATTTGAAGCATATAATTAGTCATTATAAAACATATACAAATAAATTGTAACTGGATATAAACTAAATGAAAAACTTTATAAAAACGAAGAACAAAATGAAAGCAACAATTTTTCTGTAAAAAACATAAAATTACACAAAATAAAATGCGAATAAATAGAATTATTAAAATATAGAACAATAAATTAACTTACATATAATATATATAAATATACAATAAATTATAATAAATTACCTTTAAACCAAGCTTCTCTCGTAAATTTTTAACAGCAGGTTCAGTAAGTGCTTTGATATCTGGATGATCTTCGTAAAAATTACTTTCGAATGGAGGGTAATCAATCTAAAAATGTGCAAATAAGAAAAAGTTATATTAAAGACTTCATCAAAATTTTTCATTATCAAAATATTTTATTTTCATATATAATCCATTTTTTTCTTTATGTACTTAATTTTTTTATTGACATAATTATTATAAAAACATGTTGAAAAATTTTTTTTTTAAAATCAACTTACCTCTAGATGATCAACTTGTGGTAAAGGAACAATAATCTAAAGAGAAAAAAGTCCAAATATAAAAAATATTAATTCACAATTTTGCAAAAATAAATTATAAGTGTAGTTTTATAATATTTATTTTTTAAAGAAGAGTTGAAAAAGAGGAAAAAGTAGGGAGGAGGAGGAGGAGGGGGGGGGGATAAACTGTGGATAATCTTTATAAATGTTTTTCAATAGAAACTTGTTTTTGCAGTATAAAAGTAGGTATATTACACAAACAAAATTCATTTAATAAAATTTAATTTGATATAATTTAATTATAATTAAATACATAATTAAATATTAATAAGTTAAGATTTTAAAAGTTTTATTATTTTTAAAATCTAAAAAAAAAAAAATGACACTGGGATTATCTTTTTGTATTATTTAGCATTGGCCACAATACATAACTAATTTCATAAACTTTAATAAAATTATTATACTTTTGATCTTTCTGGAGGCAAAGGATTACCATCACTATCATATTCAATTTCATCTTCATCTTCTGGGTATGGAATTAGAGGAATATCTTTACGAGCTTTGAAATATGACTCTTGGTCATCTTCATTTTCCACATCTAAACGTGCATCTTTCTTAGATCTAAAATAATTTATTAAAAATTTTACAAAGATAAATTTAGTATAATATAGCAAACTGCAAAAAAAACTATAGTACAAAATAGTAACAACGAGAAGAAAATCAATTATCATCTGGTCTATTTTAAAACTTTTTAAAAAAAATTTATAACCGAATATTTTACCACTGATGACAGTGATAAATGTAAATTTGAGTGTTAACTTTTTTTGTCTTAGTGTTAATTTTTTTTGTCTTTTTATCTTTTTTTGTCGTAAATTTGAGTGTTAATTTTTTTTGTCTTTTTTGTCAAGTACCATGGTAACCATATTTATTGACATATTACCTTTTAGAGCATGATTTATAAATTTATTCTTCATTCTTATTTTTTTACAGGGTATTTTTTTACTGTCTAGTAATGATACATTCCTTTTTTACATGGAAAATTATACAAGACTAAAGAGAGTTTCATCAATTGGACACAATTACCCCATAGAACAAAAACACAGCTCCAAACTACACTACAACAAAAAAAAAAGCAGAAAGAATAAACTCTCAACTCTAAATGAAGATAGCAGAGAAAAATTTATTTTTAAAAACTTTTTCAAAAAATTGAGGATACAATACTTAATGACATTAAAATCAAAGATAAAACCAATACTTTTAACATAACATAATGCCTTTTTTTATTGTGTTTTGCTGAATATAAACAAGTACAAACTAGGAAAAGATCAACATAATTGTTCTTATTTTGTTGTGATTAGAGAACAAATTGCCAATATAGCTGATGTATATTTGAACCATTAACCTGTTTATTTTAGTTTATTTTTTTATTTAGCACATAAAATGATGCAAATACTTTTGTTAATACTACTTTTGTTTAAATAATTACCAATTAAAAACTTGCCTGTTTCTCTGTAATTAAAAAAAATAATTGAAATTTATACATAATAAATTATATCTTAGCAACTATTTAAACATTTTTGGCAAATTTCCCAACAATAAATAACTTTCAGCAAGTTTTTTATTAAAAAAAAATTATTGGCAAGTTTTCCGAAAGTGTCCAAATATAATTAGTATAAAATGAGATATTTATTTTATGTTTTAATTAAATGTAAATGCAGGGAAGAATGGGGGAGAACACTAGATTATCTTTTTTTAAGTTCAAAATTGAACTAATGTACCAGATTGTAATAAATAATAAATGAAACAAAAAAGGAAATAATTAGTACTTTTTAGTACTTATCTTATTCTTCATGTCTTCTTCTTCTTTCTCAAGAGTTTCCTTCATAAAGTAAAATAAACAAAATTGTCATTTAGATTTTTTGCAGTTAGTTGCTAAATAAATAAAAAGTTATTTTTATATTGTTTCTTTTGGGAAAATTTTTTTTAAAATTCATTTTAAGTCTTACATCTTATTGTATATTTCATTAACAGATCTTAAAAAATATATGCCTTGAAATCAGTATGAATTTATTTCAGGAGATTTAACCATAATCAAACGTTGAAAAATTATGTATTGCAACATAAACTAATAAAAATATTACTTCAACTCCTGCCATAAATTTATCCAGTTCGTCTTCATCACTATATTCGTTTGCTTTTTCATTGTGTGGACTGCTACCTGATTGCTGATAAGCACAGTCAGCATTTTTATTTTTTTTGGTAATAGGATCTCCAATCGGGCGAGTTGGAAGAATTTCATCGTCAACATCCCAACGACTTAAAATGATTAAAAAAATTATAAAAACACAAATAAATGTATCTAATACAGTTTTAATAATTTCAAAACTAAAAATAAATATATCTACAAGAAGTTTATTAAATTTTGTTTTTTTCTTTTTTTCACTGTATAAGCTGTACTATAAAGTACACAACACAAGTAAAAAGCAGTTGCTGATCTAAATACGCTACAGTAGATATATATTCACATATATTCACCAGGGGTATGGAGTCGTAAAAAAAAAAGTAACAACTCCGACTCCAGTTGTTGAAATTTTTTGAGCACAACTCTGACTCCAACTCTGACTCCAACTCCAGAGCAAAATTTTTGAAAAATCCTTTGAATTCTTTAAAAAAAATTACACGATAACAGGCCTTCTCAGGAGACGTGAGGTCGCACGCCTTGAATGACCACGCATATATATTTTTTTGTTGATAACATGGCCACGATTTTTTTTGCATTTATTAAAAATGACGCATTTTAAAAACGCGCTGAATAAATCAAACTAATTAGTCATCTTATTGGTTTTTTTTTATTAATAATAATTTATTATTACAATTATTTATGAGAAAATTAAAACCTAACAATAATGCACATATATATATTTGTAATTAATGATAAAATAAAAAGATAAAAATAATATATAAATATATATATTTTTATTTGTTTTCATGCATTTAATAAAATTCTGGCAATTTTTCAGTAAGTTTTTATTTACTAAATGAATTACGTCATTAAGTAATTATTATTTCTTCCTGTTGGCTTGACAAGGTTTTAACTGAAACTTTTTATATAAGGAGAATTAAAAAAAAAAAAATTTTTTTCATATGTATTAAAATTATTTATTTTATTGTTTTTTTGTTTGTTTGTTTATGTACTATTATTTTGGTGGACATATAGATGTTTAGAAAAGATTTAAATATTTAAAAATTTAACTTAGCAGCAAAGCCGGCACGATAGGGATGTGTGTGTGTGGGGATGTGTGGGGGGTGTGTGACCCCCCCCCCCCATCAATGATTTTTAGTCAGCAAATTTGACCCTTAGTCGGCAAATGTGACCCTTTTTGACTAGTTAGACTCTGTCAATAGGTTAGTCGATTAAGTCAGTCGGCAAATGTCGTTATGGCAGTCGGTAAATTTTAAAAAACAAGGACCTTTTTTTAAATATATTTTTGTATTTTTAAGACGGCAAAAGTTGTTATGGCACCCCCCCCACCCATGTGACCCCTACTCGCTCCGGCTCTGCTTAGCAGCATTATAAAAATTCAATCTTATAAAAATAAAGCAATACGCATAAACGTAAGAAGTGTAAATAGAAACTTCAACAAACCAATTACTCAATTAAATAATAATAAAGATGTAAAACTAAAATACTTTTCTGAAGTTACTCTTGGTCTTGCGAAAAAATTATTTCCGGTTTGATAACTTTCATGAAAGTTATGAAAAATCACTCAGGAAGAGTGCTACCAGTTTTTAAAAAATTTCTTTATTAATTATTTTTAATGAATGAGTTCAATACTTATGCAATTCTTTTGTTACATAACTCTAACTCTTAATAATAGATAAAAAAAAATCATGATAACCGCTTGATAATGTAAGTGATGTAATTTAAGTAAAAAATACAGTATCAAAAAAACAAGTTTATTTTAAAAAAGTTTTTATAAAAATTTTAAATTGGTATAGAATTATCTGCATTTTGTAAAAGTTTCTAATACAAACTGATTTATTGATTTGCAAAAATGAGACCTATAAGTTGAATTTGTTTTTTTACCTTGTTTTCCGTGTAACATCAGTGCAAGTGGCATTTTTAGTAATAAGTTTGCTTTCTTTTGGCCGAACACAAAACTTTTAAGCTTATTTTATTTATTAGACTAACAGCTTTTATACAAAATTGCTAAAAGTTTAATTTAAAAGTTTAAATAAGCTAATATTTGGTAAAGTTATTGCGCGTGTAACATAAGTTAAAAATGGAAATGCCTATATATGCTATTTTAATGTTTCTATTTTCTCATTAATAACTATAATAATGAATTATTAATAATAATTAAAAAAAGATGAGCAATTAATTTTGTTTTTTCAGCGCGTTTTTAAGATGCGTCATTTTTAATAAATGCAAAAAAAATCGTGGCCATGTTATCAACAAAAAAATATATATGCGTGGTCATTCAAGGCCTGCGACCACACACGTCTCCTGAGAAGGCCTGCGATAAGTTAAAAATTTCTTTTTTGACAAATTTATGATATGTTTTTTGAGGTTTAGTATGAACATAAGGTTAATTGAATGTTTTGTACAAGCATGTGCAATATCGACTATTGGAGTTGGAGTCGCGATTTTGTTTAGCGACTCCGACTCCGCTAAAAATGTCGCAACTCCGCAACTCCGACTCCACAGCCCTGATATTCACATATATAACATATATTTACTATTTGTAACATTATTCCTATTACTATTTGTGACAATATTCCATTTTTACTATTAGCAAAACTATTCCGTTTTTACTATTTGCATTTTTACTATTTACTAATTGCACCATTTTGCTTTTACTACTTGCAGCACTTTTTCATTTTTACTATTTGCAAGACTATTCTTTTCTTTTGCGACATTAGGACTTTCTTTTGCAACATTAGGTCTTTTTAATATATTTGACACTATTCCAAGGTTCATTTTTCAACATTATTCCTGTCACCCATTCAAAATTTACTTACATAAACAAAATAATAAAAAACATCTAGCGCATTAAAAATAAAATATTTTATAAAGTATTATGTAATTATACAGGGTTCATGGCAGTTTTAGGAATTCGTTTTCTCTGAGTTTTCCCTGATTATTTCCTGATTTTCACCTAATTTCAAGTATTTTTTCCCTGATTTCGGTGGTAAAAAGTATATAACTTTCCTTGTTAATGTTGAAGGATATAATACTTTCGCAACTGAACCCATGTTTCCCAATATTTTTATCAGAATTTTTTAAACCTTATTCCTTTTTTTATTCTTCTATTAGAAACATAAAGATTTTTTTTAAAAGATATTTTGAACAAAGTAATGTTTTAACAAAATATAAACTTTACATGAGATCTATTTTATATAAAGTTATTTTAGTGTCTTTCTCATTTGATCTAAGATTTTATTAGTGCCTGCTATTGAACTTACATTCTATATCTTTTATGGGCTTGCACTTTTTAAAATAGAAGTTGTCTAAACTATCTATATCTCTATTGAATTCATGAAAATTGGATATAGATAGTTTAAACTGGATTGCACTTTTTAAAATAGAAGTTGTCTAAACTATCTATATCTCTATTGAATTCATGAAAATTGTTTTGATAAACCCTTGATTGATAAGTCTTGATGAATTGTTTTGATAAACCCTCTCTGAAGAAATTTGTAAATTGATTTATAGCTTTATCAGAAAAGACTGGTGAAAGATACTTTAAGCTAATCAAGTGGGTCAATAAAGATTTGTACTCCTTTGCGTTTTCTGGAATCATTGTTATCACTCCATTAGGGTTAAAAACCTGAGAATTGCATACAATGATAGACCCTAATGGAGTTCACTCCATGAAATTTTCAATTAGTTGTACATACATGTTAAAGCAATCTTTTTGGAAACTTTGAATACCAGTAATTGTTATTTTTCTTTTGTAAAGAAGGTAATCTTGTTTTAGCTGCAAATCCTAGTTTGATTTGATTTGCCTTAAGTAGATAATCTTTTTTATAAAAATTAACTTCTGCTACAGACCAATTATCAATAACTTTGTGTTTCACAAACAAGCTCAGTATGGTTCACAACAGTCTTTTTAAGTCACTATACATTAATTGAATCATTAGCTTGTCAGTTTGGTACGCCAACAAAGATGGCTCTACTATGCTGGCAACAAAGCTGAAAACAAATTTTAAAAGAACAAGTTTGTCTTTAACAGCTTTTTTGACAATTAAAAAGCATATTGATTTGGGTTGCTTTAATGATAGTAACTTTTCCCAAAACTCAATTAACTTAAATATATTAGGCCAGATTTCAATGCCACAATCTGCAACAGATTTATTTTTAACCCACCAAAATAAAAGAGGGTATTTTGTTGCATCTGTGACTGTTTCATAATCTCGACGTGAAGAATTTTCAACACCCTTTCAGAATTTCTTTAATATTCAATGGTATTGATTCGATAGCTGTCATGGTATTGATTCGATAGCTGTCTTAGGCACCATGAATAATATGCATAGAGCAACTTCCAATATTTATAAGCTGTGACATCTCGTTGTTCTTTTAGTGTTTGTTTAGATCATCTAGAAATTTCTAATTTGTAGAGGGTCCATGGATACTTGAAACATTTTACTTGAATCAAATCTTGATAAGTATTCGTTAAAATGAGTAAGAAGGTCAGAAGCTGTAAAATGACTGATAAAAGCTAACTCTAATATCTTACTTCAACTTTGTCATTGACATCCCATTATCGAAAAAGTAGGTCCATCTGTCATGTTTGAGTTAGGTCCTTCAAACTAACATCAAAAGATACAATGTAACAATCTGATTTTGTGAGGAACTCACAAAGGAACTTTTAAATATGAAAATATGAAGAAAGTGAAACAAAGTAATATTTATAAAAAAATATACTAAAATAGAGTTTAAAAATTTGATCAAATGCAACATTCTGAATAAATATCTGTCCTGAATAAAAACTGTTGCTGAAGAGTGTTTTTCTGGTGTATTTATAATATGATACAAAACATTAAAAACTTTTAAAACTTAAAAAACTATTACTAAATTGTAATGAATTTTATTTTATAATATGACTGATGTCATAGTGAAATAGCCTATTAGCAGGGGCTTTGCAGGAGAAGCAATTTTTTATATATAGGTTTATAGTATTTTTTGCATATAGACTACACATAGATTGCAGGAGTACTAAGTGCTTTATGTGTGTGTGTGTGTGTTTAGTGTATTACAAATCAGGAAGAGAATCAAAAACAATCTTACGTTTTTACTCTTTTTTTTTTCATTTTAGGCTGAAGAAGAGTTTCATCAACATCTGTAGGATTTAGCGGGTCATAAAGATCTTCTTCAGTAACACCGGCTCCAGATTCTTGCAGGTATCTTTTTTCATTTTCATCTGTGTGAAACTTTGGAAGAATAGTCTGAGAAGCAGATACATATTTTTGAAAAGGCAATGCTGAGGAAGCCAAATTTTCTTTTTTTAACGTAAAACCCGAAAAAGTAGTGTTTTTATACCTATCATTGGTGTGCATTTCTTCTCCTTTTTAAAAATATTAATAATAAACTTACTATATTTAGTTAGATAATTTCATTTTCCTTTAGAAGAAAAAACTAGTTAATTATATTATATAAACATACAATATATAACATATAATATATATATATATATATATATATATATATATATATATATATATATATATATATATATATATATATATATATATATATATATATATTTATGCTACAGAAAACATTAATACACTATATTAGGAAAATACTGTTTTTAGCTAAATGATAGGATACACTATATAGAAAACCAGTTTATTGTGTGTTTTTTATACTCCTGTTTTTTTTTTTTTTAAATGTAGGATAAAAGATATTTCTCAATATTCAAAGTGAAATAATTTTCTTTTTTTTAACAGTTATAACTATGAAATTTAAATATGTATTTAAAAACTATTGTTGGAATTGAAAACCATTGCACAGTGATTCAAAACTGCCATTTTTAAAAGTATTTTGTTATATCAAAACAAATTAAAATGGCGGGAAACTTAAATATGAATTTTTTACTTGTATTGTTTGTTCTAATATAGTTTTTAAATCATAAATATTAAATATAGTTTTAAAAAATGTGTTTTTGCCATTGTATACTATTTAGAAGTTTTTAAAAATATTTATTGTCAATTTTGAAGAACGATTTATTATTTGATAAGTATAACATGTTTGAAATAGCTTAACTCAACAACTTTATTTCCTGTAATATAAAATTAACTTAATTTGCGGCCATGGCGCAATGGTTAGAGCACTTGATTTATAAGCAGGAGATCCAGGTTCGAAACAAGCATTGGACATATTTTGCGTCACGGTAAGGAAGGAGGCGTGAACTTCCTAGTTAAATACACTTCTGCGGTGCTCTGTGACAAGGCCGTTAGGTCTTCTTGGAGCACCTAAGTAACAACTTTTAAAAAAAAATTAGTAATATAATATTAATACAGGAAATCTAATGTGACAACTCTTAAAGCAATAACAACATAAAATTTTAAACAGTGTAAAATAAAAAAATATATAAAATAATTTAAAATGTTTCTGATATATTAGTTTTATTATATAGATGGCTCTTAAAAACAATAACAATGAAAAGATTAGATCTTATCCCAAATATATGTGAATTAGGAGTGGATAAATTAAGATTATGGAAGGATTTACTTAATGAAATAGAAAATACTGAAGAATACTGAAAGGGCAGTCGTCTGTCAATCATTATCTTGCTTGTTGGAAGCGAAGATGTTAAAAAAAAAAAAAAACTCGCAAAACTTAAACTAAGTAAAGGTTGCTTTATTTATATTTATACAAAAAGAAAATCTTTGGCAATTAATAGCAATTTTGGTTTTGGAAGGCCCCATAAACAATAGAGTGTTCTTGGAGAGCAAAACAAAAAGAAAAAGATAAAAGAACTAGCCACTGAACATCATGAAGCTTTATCTTAGCTTCTGCAATAAGTGCAAATGCAGCTGGAGAAAAAAAAAGCCTCTATTTTAAAAAACAATACATCTGATGTTTAAGAGATCAAAAAGGTTAATAAAACTTTGGATAAAATCTTTCCCATTATTATAAGTGTAGAGGAAACTTATGCATTAAAAATAAACACTGGTCTCAATAATAAAAAATTTCAAATGATCAGAAACTCAGCTCTTGTACACAACCATTATCCTATGTTGCACAATATTTTAATGGAAAAATTGAAATGCTATCCTGAAAATAAACATTTTTATTGAAATTTCTGGAAAGTGTACTCTTCAAAGCATGTTAGATCACATTTTTAGTAGAATAACTGAAATGACTGATATGCCAGAATGTGATCAGAATGCGCTCATAATTTCAGCTTTGCACTGCTAGATAAAATGCTTGGAATTTATTCTTCATTTGAGTTATAAAACGGAAATTAAAAAGTACAAGCCAAATACAATAAAAAAATTATCTGTAAACTTAAGAAAGAAAGAGATTCAGTTACTCTTTAGAGAACGGTTAGGCCTATATGTTGACATGCCTAAAGCTGGGTTTGGCAATACCAATGATGGCAATACTGCCATAAGAGCATTTAAAATTAGTAAAGTTTTTTTTGAAATTACATAAGTTGATTGTGATAAAATTAAAAGATTGCATAATATTCTAATAACCATATTTTGTGGATATCCTATTAGTATCAATGAATTAGATTTATGCTGCAATGAAACAGCTAAACGTATAGTAAGTTTGAATGACTGGTATGTCTCTTACTGTACATAAACTGCTATTGCATAGTTCTTCTATATCATATAAATTACCTTTGCCAATTGGGGTATAATTGGAAGATGCACTGGAGAGTTTAAATAAACAAATAAGAAATTCTAGACTTAAGCACACTGCAAAAAGATCAAGATTAAGCACTACCTTCTAGTAAGATCAGACCCAAAAGTATCATGCATATCTTTTAGAAAATATAAGAGTTATCGAGGAAAACCGTTACCAGATAAAGTTATTAAATTAATTGTAATGTAAGTAATAAAACAAATGTAATAAATACAGTTTTTTTTCAATTAACAAATTTAATTAACAAATACTATTATTTAATTATATAACATTATTTATTTACAAATTATATAACATTATTTATTTACAAATTTTATTTTATTTTTCCTGTTTTTGCATTGGCGATATTTTAAAAACTATAAAACTTTATAATTTTTAGGTAAATCCATATATATTGAATTTACGTTACACAAATTTGAAATAAAATTGTGATTTAGCTGAGCAGCTTTATTAAACAACTTTTAATATAAAAATATATGATTTTTTATGTTATATAATACACATATAATTATATAAACTTGCATGCAAATTGCACAAGTTCTTTTATGATTTTTTTAAATTTTGCTTTTAAAAGGAAAGTAAAGTGTCTGACCAAAAATAAATTAAAAATGCCACCTTAATATCAATTCAGTTTATGCAATGAAATTCATAGCGAGAATAATATTTAATAATTTTTTTTTTTATCATAAGACTTTGGTTAACTCTCTAAATCATTAAAATAACCTAAATAAAGTGACTTACATTATTTTAAAAGTATTTTTTTTTAATGATTTTTTTTTATAAAAATTTATTATATATATATATATATATATATATATATATATATATATATATATATATATATATATATATATATATATATATATATATATATATATATATATATATATATATATATATATATATATATACAATATATTAAATTATCATTTTATCACATTATCACATTTTCAAAATACAGAATTTTGATAGGATCTGAAATTTAGTATAGCAAAAATTGATTTTTAAAAATTCAGTATTATATAAACAGATTTATAATTTATAAGTCAAAATCTATATATTTTCATAGAAGGTTGAAATAAAATTGTATTGCCAACTTGAAAGTTTGTTTAGAAGAATCTCATTTCGAATTTCACAAAGGCTTCTTAGCAGTCCGCATGCTTTACGTTATTTTTTGTATTTACAGTATGAACTTCGATGCATTTTATAATATACCTGTATTTACGAATTTTATAATAACTTTCTGAGGTCTAGAACTTTTATAATAAATAAAACATACACTAGGATAGGTTGTATTATAAATACCTTTATACTATAAACGGTGAATAAAATTTATTTGAAGCAAGCAAAACTTCAAATAACTGAAATTTTCAAATTAACCTAACTATTTCAAAAATGATGAAAAAAATAAAAGATAATATTGCAATAATAATAGTATATAAAAAGTTTAGACCTTGTTGAATAACAAAATCTTTTTAATTTTTGAAAAAATCATTATCAAAAATTTAACGATTTTCTCCGAATATAAATATTTTTCAAACGTAATAGTTAATTACATAATTTTTTTTTTGGAAATGACACTACAAAAACTAATTAAATTGTTTTAGGCTGATATCCTTAATGAAAAATTTTTGCAACAGAACCCCTAAATTTCTAAATGGCCCACCTAAAGTTGCTGCCCCCATCCCCAAGATTTTTCAAGACAAGGTTTTTTTTTTTTTAATAATCACTTATTAAATCAGTTTCGAAAAATCCTAAACTTGCATCGGAATCTCTCGAGTAATATTTTGTTGAACTATCGTCAGAACCATTTTTATTTTCACAAGACGAACCACCAACTACACAACTCCGCACAATTCAATCCATGCGAAAACAATGACATGACAAAAACAAACTTGTGATTCACATTTTGACTTTTTACACGCACAGAAACTAACTGCAAAGGATCTTCTGCAGCAAATAGAATGAGCATCCAGTTAAATTGCTATTACCTTAAACCCTAGGCCCCAATTTTCATCCTTGTCCATGAGGTTTTTGCATATTGGGATTTGCTTCAAACAATCGTTTAACAACTCCTGATACATACGAAATCTACTTGCAATGACATAAAAACGTCGCGAGTAGGTGGAAGCTTTTGGCGTTCCGGAGCTAGCAACAGCGACAACTGATTTTCAATTGCTTTAAAAAGACTCTCTCTGTTTCTTGCAATTCTTTCATTTGCACGGACTTTGTGTACTTGGTTAAATTGTTTTTGTAAATGAATAACAATGCATCAAGGATGACCGTTTGTTACGTTATAAATTACATCTTCACAAAGAGAATTTATTTTGACAAGTCCTCTGTTGCTAACTATAGCACAAATTATAATTTTTCCAAGAGTCGACAATGAAAAGGAAAAATTTTAGTTTTTAGTCTAAGCAATTTTATCTTCATTAGTAGGTCATTCGCCTATTTTTTTATTAAAAAATGTTTTCATTTTTTAATAAAAAACATGCCATTTGGTCTGCTTACTGATAATTAGCTCTTAACAACATTATCATGCAAAAGTCCGCAAACTGCATCATCAAATTTTCTTGTATCTCCAATTCATTCAAGAAACATACTTAAAGAACTTAATACTATCTCTGGCTCTGCTATAAATTGTAAATTCTATGATGTTGTTGACTTTAATAAAGCTATCAAACCTAATTCAGATATATATCTTCACCTTAATATTGCATCACTTTCCTATCACATTGATGACCTGTGCAGTCTTATCAGCACATTAAGTATCATACCTATGGCAATAGGGATTACTGAATCCAACTTATACCTTAATGATACCAATATAACAGACATAACTATTAATGGATTCAATATTGAGCATTGCCCCACTGAGGCCAAAAAAGGTGGTGCTCTTTTATATCTACAGTCTAATTTAAATTATCTAGTTCGTCATGACTTAAAGATTTACTTACCAAAATTACTAGAGTCTGTTTTTGTTGAAATCATTGAGCCACACAAAACAAATGTCCTTATTGGTTGTATATATCGTCATCCATCAATGAATCAAAATGAATTCAATACCACATTTTTAACTCCACTTCTTGAAAAGTTAAGCAAAGAACAAAAATTGATCTTTTTAATGGGTGATTTCAATGTAGATCTACTGAGCTATAGTGAATCTAATCCTACTTCCAACTACCTTGATACCTTATGTTTTTACTCATTTAATCCTTCCATAATCTTACCTTCCCGTATAACAACTAAATCTCAAACACTTATTAATAACATCTTTATGAACTTCTACTCTTCTGATCATTTCTCAGGTAACCTAACTATTTCTATCTCGGATCACACAGCACAATTTGTTTGTGTTCTTGGCACATCCAATAAACCAAATAAAGTTAAAATTTCTAGAAGATGTTTAAAAAAATTTGACCCTAACAAGTTTATTAAAGAAATTTCTAAAATCAACTGGGAGCTTATAATTAAAAAAGATGACAATATTAATGAATCCATCAATAATTTTTTAAAATCATTTAATATGGTTCTAGACCAATGCGCCCCCTATAAAACTTTGACTAAAAATCAAATCAAACTAAAATCTAAACCCTGGATATCTAAAGGCTTACCTAAATCTATCTCTGTAAAAAACAAAATCTACAAAAAATTTGTAAGATGTAAAAACATTAATACTAAAAATGAGCTTTTCAAAAAATTTAAATTCTATAGAAATAAAATTAGCAACTTATTAAAAAGTTGTAAAAAATCATACTACATAACTTATTTTAATAACAACATAAACAACATAAAAAATACATGGAAAGGCATAAAAGATATCATAAATATTATAGGATCATTACAAAAAACACCTACTCAGTTAAATCTGAATGAAAATATTATCACAGACCATGCCACTGTTTCGAATATATTTAATAACTACTTTGTCTCTATTCGTAAAAACTACTCAATAATATTATGCCATCAGAATATACTTATAGTGACTTTCTTAATTTTCCTAATGCTAATTCTTTCTTTATTGATCCTGTTAGTGAAGATGAGGTATCTAGTCTTATTAGTAATACTCTTGAAAATGATAAAAGTTATGGACCTAATAGCATACCTCTATTTTTTTTTAAACTTACTTTTCACATAATCTCCAAACCTCTTATTATGATAAATAATTCTTTTAAAAATGGCAAATTTCCTGATGTTTTTAAAGTAGCTCAAGTCATTCCAATTTATAAAGCAGGCTCTTTACTAGACTTTTCTAACTATCGACCCATTTTCCTTCTTTCCAACCTAAGCAAACTTTTTGAGAAGGCTATGCATTACAGACTATACAAGTTTCTAGATAAATTTAAATGCTTGTACCAACATCAATATGGATTTCGAAGCAAACATTCTACAACCCTTGCACTTATTAAAATTACTGAGAAGATTAGAAGAGCTCTAGATAATAAACACTTTGCATGTGGGGTGTTTGTAAATTTGCAGAAAACATTTGATACTGTGGATTACTCCATCCTTCTCACAAAATTAGAATACTACGAAATCAGAGGCATTCCACTAAAATGGTATACTTCATATGTTTCCATTAATAGCACTAAATCTGATTTATAGAATTGCTCAAATGGCGTCCCACAAGGTTCAGTTTTAGGATCACTTCTTTTTCTTCTTTTTATTAATGACTTGAATACTTCTTTTAAATTTGCAACTGCTTACCATTTTGCTGATGATACTAACATGCTACTGGTTGACAAATAACTTAAAAAAATCAACAAACATATTAATCATGATCTTGGAAATCTTGTTCAGTGGCTTCGTTCTAATAAACTTTCTCTTAGTTCTAACAAAACAGAGCTTATCATCTTTAAATCCAATCTGGCACCAATTAAAAAGCAATTAAATTTCAGACTAAGTGGACAAAAAATTTATCCTTTAGACTCTATTAAATATCTTGGGATTAAAATCTCCAAAATATTAAAAATAAGCGACCTTGTGGTATTCCTCAACTGCCTATTTGTCTGGAATTATCATCACAAAAACCTTCCTCTATCATTCAACAATTTCTTTTCAATTACAAGTTGTCACTATCCTCTTTGCTCCATTAGTAGTTTAAACTTAGTTATTCCGAAACACCAATCTGCTAAATATGGAAATAAATCCATTAAATATCAATGTATTAGCTCATGGAACAAACTTCCTCCTGATCTAAAATCTCTTAATTCAATCTCTGAATTCAAAATCAAGCTTTTTAATTATCTGTTAAAAAAATACAATTAAATATTTCTACCAACATATATTGACATTCTTTACTAGATATGTCAATTCGTAATCCTTCAGTTTTTAATTTGATATTTTTAACATTTTGAAATTCTCTACTTATCTATCTACATCTAATTTCTTTGGCTTTCTATCTGCCATTTTTAAACTTTATTATTAAACTATCTATACTAATATTATTAATTTTAGTACGAATGGGTTGGCATTCTTTATTTATCTATCTATTTATCTCTTTTCATTCAAAAATTCTCTATTTCTCAACTATTCTACTTCGTACTAAATCGTTGTTTTTTTTTTTTTGTTTTTTTTTTTTTTTAAGTTGATTAAGGTGCTCCAAGAAGTCCTTACGGTCTTATCACAGAGCACCGCGGAAGAGCATTTCCCAAGATCCTTCTCAACCGATTGTTGTTGCCATAACTCTTTACTAAATTTTTGTTGCTGCTGTTATTGTCTTTATTTATGAAATTCTTCTCTTATTATAGTTGTTATTATTTCGTTACTATTATTATTATTGTTATAATTATTATTTTTGTTGTTGTTGTTGCTATTATTATTCTTATCACAATCATTGTTATTATTGTTATTATTGTTATTACTATTATTATTGTTATTATTGTTATAACTATTATTGTTATTATTGCTATTATTAGTATTATTAATAATAGTTATTATTATTACTTTCATCATTGACTATAACGTTACGTTGTATATTGAGGTATTTACTTTATATTAGTACTTGTACTATTGTAAATTTCCTTGAAATGTTATAACTTATTTCGAAATATATTTGATTGATTGATTGATTAGAGGATATCTAGAGATTATATAATTTTAGGCTCAGCTTTTACCACTTCTGGAATCCAGTAAAAAAATTTGGATGCTGTTACTGTTG